GCACAAAATCAGTAAGGTCACAACGATTTAAAAATGGAGGCTACAAGAGCTTAGGTTGGACAGTTACATGAGAAACTGATGGAAAAATAAAACCATTGGATTGGATTATTCATGTTTAAAGTATAGCCATTAAAATCAATGATCGGTTTACTCCAAGCATGAATGCCAGAATCCCACCCACTGGCTGCATTCAAGTGTCAAAATAAACCATGGTTTATTGTGAGGGGAATGGACCATGCTCGGGCTTAAACAACTCCCATTCATCCCTTCTTCTGGCACAGCTACAATAAGGTATTCAGAAGCTTTTGGGTGCATTTTTTATTAACCACAGGTTGCCATTTCATCCAGCTACAACAAACTGTAGTGTAAAAATAACAGCCTACACAACTACTCATACTGCTGGAGAAAACAATGCAGAGAAAGAAGACAAACAATCAACTACAGTGGTACCTCGGGTTACAGACGCTTCAGGTTACAGACCGCTATCCCAGAAATAGTACCTCGGGTTAAGAACTTTGCTTCAGGATGAGAACAGAAATCACGTGGCAGCAGCGGGAGGCCCCATTAGCTAAAGTGATACCTCAGGTTAAGAACAGTTTCAGGTTAAGAATGGACCTCCAGAACGAATTAAGTTCTTAACCCGAGGTACCACTGTATTTTGTACATGACAAAAGCTTGCGTTGCTGCTGGTCTGGAGTTTATTCCTCCTTGTCACAGGCTACCGTGCAAGTACATATTTACAAGCCTGTAGCTAGCAAGCGTAAAGTGGTAGTGATAGTGACTTGATATTATGTGCAGCTAGGGCCAACCTGAGATACGTTAAAACATGAAAAGAGAGGAGTTTTGATTTTGTGTTTTAAAACACACTGATCTCTATACCACCGCACAGGCTGTAAATAGCAAAGAAGATTAGAACACACTAGAACACAGAGTAGAATGAGATTAGAAATGACATTACAGGTTTAAAGGCCCTTACCTTGCCACCTGCCAAAGAGAGGCACACAATACCAATTCTCCCAAAACAGTTGCAACAGACTAGAGAAACCAGTACAAGGCTCTGTTATGAGGCCAGAGACTGCAGTGCTCAGGTGGATGTGTTATTAGAACAAGAACCAGAGTTGGGAGGGTTAGGTTAAAGGTTCATACTGTATGTTCACAGGAGACTAAATAGATTGTAAAGTAAAAATCCAATTAGCAAGTCTAACTGTAAGAAGTTGGGCTTTGAAACAGCATCAACAAATTGTATTAGCAACCAAGGAAGGGATCAGAGCAAAAATTTGAAAAAAGCCGATTTATGCAATTGATGGATGAACAAAATGCAAACATTTTAGCTGCAAAACATTTAAGATTTTGCCTATGCTTTATCTCAACTTAGTTTGTCCCCAGTCATTGCCTATTTTTAGAAAATATTACAACAAGATATAAAATGTTACCCACAACCACATTTTACACACAGGCAATTAAAACAGCCCTTAAACATTGAAAACAGCCCCCCTTTCACCTTACCTTGAACAAATAAAGCAAAATATGTCATGATGTTTGGCTTTCCCTTCTCTTTGTCCTAAGTATCATCAATTCACAGTACAAAAAGTAACAGAAATGAAGGGAGCAATTATGCCCCCCACTGGATTCTCCCTCAACTCCCTACCAAGACAATATTAGTCTTATAATCAATTCCTTGGAGGGGGGTGCAAAAGCAACAAAATTCTAATTACAGGAAAGACACTTGATTTTCTTTGCTCTGCAGTCATAAGATGTCAAAATGTCTAGACAGCTTGAAAAAGAAACTTTGACACAGCACCCTTTCTTAACAGAGTCGGGGGAGGAAGAAAGATAACAAGCTTATTACACATAAGTCATCCCTCATTACTTAAATTGAGCAGAAACATGCAAACTGGTCTGCAGCGGGAGTGAAATGGGAAGCTTGGGACATATTGAAGAATTGTCAACAGTCCATGTTATACTGATCACAACTTATTTTATTGCTTCTAGACAGCTGTATTTCCTCATTTCAATCAATAGTGACCTGAAGTTAGACTGCTTTTGCACATGTGAACCAAATTCTGCAGCAAGAAAATGTACATTCTGAGCTTAGAATAAATTTTGCAATATTTTACAAAAGTTGTCCAAAGTTACTGAGTTTGATCAGAACCATTAGCACAGGGAGCCTTGAAGGCCTGAATCCTGACCACAAAATATCCCATTCAAAGCCCACTTTGGTTTCCATGCATTTATCAGATTTTCTACACATTCCTTGGCAGGGAGGGGGATAAAAGCACTTGGGCACTTTTTGCTTCCAGCATTTATCTCTAGCAATGATTACTATATTTAAAAAAGAAAGTCATCCTGCTTAAGAAGCCAAATCAAATGTCAGATTCTTTGGCAGGTCACAAGGCAGAGATGAAGAGCATACTGAACATTTTTCTGACTGCAATTCCTAAAAGCATAGAATTCTAACACCCAGATTTCCTTCCTCCAATAAGTAGTAGCAATAGTCAACATTTGCGAAACACTCAGATGCGCTGCAAAGACTGCACTGCACAACAAGTTAAAATTATGATACGGAAATCTGTGGTCAACAAGAGGGATTTAAACTTCTATTGTTGTACACACAAAAGCAGGTAAAGCCCTATTCAAGCCGAATGTAAATTGGATGACAAATCTCTACAAATATGCTTTGTTGTATCTTCTTCCCTAAGTCTAAAAGAAAAGGATATAAAGATAAGGAGGCTAAAAGTTAACTTTAGGTCAACAAACCCATTGAGTTTTGAGGCCAAAAACAAAGTCAAGAAACACCAAAGGAAAAAGACTATAATAGATACATTAAGCTGGAACTAACCTCCAGGGGTCATCCAGTCTAACCTACCCTGTAGGGGTGGGATTCTAACTCCGGAAGCTTTAACCAGCCAGGAGGCAAGACAAATAAACCAAAAATAAAATAAAATGAGACATTAGGGAGCCAGCTGTCGTCTATTTAATGGTATATATGTTTTTGTGTATATGTGTGTGCATGTATTTATATTTGTGTGTGCATACAAGAAAAGCCCTTTTTATTAATTTAATTTTTATTTTAAACAATAAAGCCAATTTTCTAAATATCTTTATTTCTTTCTGTGTAGCTAACACAAGTAAAAGGTTAAATACTGAGCCCCCAAGATAATCATATCTAGGTAGGCTGGGCCCACTCCTTGGTTCCACCCCTGTGTTAAACAGACTCATAATATTTCAGCCAGATAGTTCTGCCATGTAGGAGTTTCCAACTTCTGTAGAAAATTATCCTCATCTAACACTATGACTGTGTTCAAACGTAACTCTAAACCATGGTTTAGCACTATATGCAGAAGCAGAAACAAAATGCAAGTTGCAACACAGGAACAATGAGAGAAAGACAGTATCAGAGTAGTATGACCCTAAATATCCCTTGCTAGGGATCACCAACAGGAGGGTGCTATTGCACTTGTGTCCAGGAGCAGATGGCTCCTACTTCACTCCTAGTATAACTGGGAGCAGCAAACCACGATCCCTGACGTAGCATCATGTCCACACCAGGGACTGAGGTTCACTCCAAATAAATCATGATGCTAAGCCAAAGCTTGTTCTTGGCTTACCATTTGTGGTTTGGAACAAAACTACCCTCGATCCCCAGTTCTGATATAATACTAAGCCAGGAAGCATGGTTTGTCAGTCCCATTCCCACTGATGGAAGAGTAAAGCAGCAACCATCTCTGTATTCATAGTTAACTATGGCTTACTGTGACATGTGACCTGGGCCTGGAAAGACTGAAAGAGATGAAGGAGTAACAAATACAAAAAAAGGGAGATTTTCTATATATATACTTTCTGCTCCGTTTGAGAATTTGGCATGTTTTATGCCTCTGCCTTTACAGACGAACTCTTAATAATTTATTGCCTTTGCTGCTTTGTCAATATGACACACTCCATTTGCAAACTCAACAAAACGATCTGTCTTGGGAACTCAGCCAACAAGTGTTTTATGAAGGCTTCAAGCAGAGAAGCCAACTCTGTTAAAACAGCATCCTGTTGATAAATCCTATCCATATAGGTAGAGAGTGCAATGTGAGCAGGAACTAAAGTGATCAGATCCAGCTATAATAGTGTTAGAAACCCTTTGTTGTTCTTTCAAAGGTTGTGGGTTCACTTGCCATATTTTGTGGTCTAGTAGGCTTACACAATTATTTCTTTTCCATGTTACCTTCTTTGTCACATGAATTATCAATCCATTCTGTTTGAGTCTGGGTGCCCATACAGTCTTAACATACCCTGCCTGACTTCCATCTTCACTTTGCCCTTGCCTAAACTTCTTGTGGATTTCTCCTATGTAGAATACTGGTAAGTGAATGGTTACAATGGGTGGTTGGTATTTAAGAACTATGTGAAAGCATTGGTGTCCCTTTCTTGGGGTGCCATGCTTCACGTCGTCAATCCACATAAGCTTGCTCATCGCATGAAGTGTTGCATATGAGAATGAACCATCAAGATTGAACCACATCTGCACACTATTTCTCAATGGAATCTGTTCACATATTTTGCTGCAATGAGAAACCACAGGTGTACATATATACAAAAACCAAAATCTCGTTTTTGTACTCCCTTCTCCCTCTTTTCCCGTTCATTCTTTTTCTGTTGCAGTTTTCTCAATTATAATGGCATGTGTTTGTGTGGGGTATGTTGTGTTGTGCGTGGAGGAGTTAATTGTGGAAACACAGTATGAGCAATATGCCAATACAAAGCTGATGATTTCAAGAATCCATAATCTAAACTAACATTGCTTCGTATGAAAAAGAAGTTACATACAGGGGAAATGTTCCCCTCCTTCTAAATCACTTCTGTGACTTACGGATTTTTCTGGAAGGCCCCAAGATAACACCCTCCTCAATGGGTCTTTTCCCTTCTGGTCTCCCTCCCTGCATCATACTTCATTGTCTCCCACTCCTTTACTACGTTACTATGGTGACCTCAACAAAGACTTTGCTAGGCCTCTGGGGCAGAGACACAACCAACAGTACTAGGATCACACAGCTCACCCCCTAAGTGCAACAGCAGAGGAAAGATAGCCATGTGAGTTATGGGGGTTATGGGGCAGGGAGGGGATAAGCAACTATTTGATTGGGAAAACATAAGCAAGCAAACCTAATTATTGGATCCCATCATTTTGGTGGTGGCGGTAGTGAGGAAGAATAACTTAAGAGACCATTTTGAAGTGGTGGTGCTTCCTATGTGTTACTGTGCTTGCCTTTACAACAATCCTGTAACACAGCCAGCAGTGGCTGTTGCTCATTGGGCTAGTGGGGCAGAAGGGCGGGACACCGGTAGGAGTAGCAGGAGCTTGAGCCAATGACAGGCAGAGAAAAAAAATTCTGTTTTTGTTCCTATTCTCATCCATGCTGAGTTCTGCAAGGGAAACAATGGGCCCTAAGGAGGAGGAAGGTGACAAGCAGTGCCACCCCCTGGGCTGGTTGTCAGTAAGAAGGCAGGCAGGCAGGCAAGGTCTTAATAATCATAGAAAAACAATCATAGAATCGTTGAGTTGAAAAGGACCACAAAGGTCCTCTAGTCCAACCCCCCTGCAACGCAGGCTTGCTGAGGGCAGGCTGGGGCTAGTGGCACAGTACCCCATTTGCCTAAACAGAAGCCTCCACTGGGTCACTTTCCACCTCCATTTTATCCACTTAGAATAAAGGTGAGGGAAAGTGGCTTATCTAGGGCTATGAAAGAAAGAATTTCAACCCATCTCCCAGACCAAGTGCATCAAATATCACCTGAATGTCTGAATAGGCCATCTTAAATGCAACCCCACAAAGAGAACTTTGATTTGTTTTCAAGCACAATATTTGTAATTGAATCAATTTACTTCACACATTTAGCTGCCAGGCATAGTGTAGAAAAAAGTGTACATGCATGTGTAGTCCAGCCTGTGAATGGATTTAGAGCCCACCTGGACCTGGGAAGACAATGCTGGATCTGGGAGACTTTGTACCTGCTCCTCCATTAAGGGGAGTTCAACCCCTTCAGAACAGGCTACACAGCTAATTCCAGGACATGAGAACCACTTACTCCCAGTGTCTCTGTCTTGTCAGGATTCAGCTTTTGTTTATTATCCCTCATCCAGAACACTGGCATATTAAATCCATGTCCAGTCTCACATGGCTCAGAGGAGAGAAATAGGACAGAGTCTTGTCCGCGTTCTGAGGGCACCTCACTCCAAACCCTTCTCATTATTCTCATCTTCTCACAACATTCTTTGTGATACCTGAATTGTTCTGTGTGTTTTGATAAAAGTAAATATTTAAATGCATGAATAATAAAGCAAATACCACATGCTTGCTCAAAGTGTTTTGAACAAAATCTATTTTTTTTAGTAGTTAGCTTTTTCCAATTAACAACATATTAAATATTTTTCTGGAATGCATTGTTACAGTGTTTATTCAAGGTGTTGTAAACTTTCACTGGTCTACTGTTGCATTTCCATATATTCACAAAATTTGCCTGGTTGCTGTTTGCATTCTTATGCGGTTGTCAATAAGTTCATGACTGAACATTCACACAACATAACTGGGACTGTCAGTGCTCCCACATGACTGGCAATAACAACAATTTCTGATATTTGCTGCAATATATGCATATGGTAGTGAGTTTTATAGATGCACTCATTGTGTGTGTAATGAAAAGCGTATCAGTTCCCAAATATATTGGATAACAAAGGTTTATTGTTGTATCTCTCCTCCCATTTCTTCTCAGATACACGATCTCAGGATTTTGTTTACCCACACAGGGAAATTTTAGAAAAGAAATATATGTGAAACAATATCAGAAAAGGGGAGGGAGGAATGTGGATTTTGCAATAAGTGATGCATACGAAGGAGGATGGACTGCTGCCCACACATGTTCAGAGATATTTTTTGCAGAATTCACATAGATTTTGCACTCTGATACCTTGTTTGTAAGTGTATGGTCAAAACTGTAATGTTTTATGCCATCTCTCTAAGTAGGAAGCTCTCTAGAGCAATCCTTTTTTTCTGTCAAGGACCTCATTCTCTCAGGGGTAAATTGCTGGGGCCTACATGCCACCAATGGTTGGTGGTCCACAGCCGATTCTTGACTGTGCCAGAGCCAAAGTAGGTAGGGCATCCCCTTTTCTTCCTCACCCCTCTCTGCCATCCCACAATTCCATCCTTGCCAACTGCATGTAATTGACCATAGGCTGCCCACAACAGCTCTAGATGAAGACTATAACTGGGAGAGTGACAGGACAACACACAAAGAAGAATCACACAGGGAGGGGCTTCACATGCTGCACTTTAAGGTATATACCTAGCATTTTAATCAACTATCATTAAAAGGTATGATATTAAAGTGGCTAAAAGTAGGATGGCAAAAGCATGCACGCATCATATAGGTACACTGATCTAGAAGCTAACTTTGGCCGAGGCTCTCTGTCAAGTCAAGGGCACATTAAGCAGTCAATTCAGCTTTGTTCGTATGCTATGTGTAAAATGGCTGGTGGTTGCAATTCATAGGAAGAGTAAAAGAGTAAAGGATGTTTTGATTTGCAGAGAATCTATGCTGCACAGTTATTTCTGTTTTTTCACAGGGAAAAGAAATCCAGCATAAAACAAGTCATTGTGGAAGAAGATGAAAATGAAATAGATAGGGATGCCGCTAACAGCCAGCTCGTGGGGGTAAAGGAGAAGGATTCTCCTGTCCTCAAACTCAGTGTGATGTTCAGCCCCAATTTGGACAGTGAAAGAGTTGACAGCTCCAGTACTTCCCCTTCTCCTGTTGAACTCCCGAAGAAACAGAGTGTGTAAGTATTGTTCACAAATGGATTCCTTCATAACCTTTAGAGCAGCCTTCTCCAAATTGGTGCCCTCTGGATGTTTTGGGCTACAACTCCCCTCAGCTCCAGCATGCAGGGCCAGCGCTCAGAGACGATAAGGGCCAGCGCTCAGAGAGTAGAGTCCAACACCATCTCAAGGGCATCTAGCTAGGGAAGGCTGCTTCACTGTTTCTTATATGTAGCTGGCACAGCACAATTTTGCTCCAGTGTCCTTTTTTTAAGAGCCTTTTATAGACCCAAGTGAACATAAGTATCTTAACACCTGCTGGTTAGACATGAGCTTTATTCTACTGTATCCACTCACCTGCAAAGGTGTATACAGCGTTAACTTAAAATTGTGCAGTTTGCCATCTGAATGGCTGACACCTCAATCATGTTTGCACTTACTTTTGGGGACTGTTCCTCCACTGAAATAACGAAATCCACCCTTTCCTGGGTATATAACTGAAGCTGATGAATTGCCTCGTTCCCTTTGTTTAGTAAGGATGGGACTGTGAGGCAGCCATATGCCCTTTGTCTCATAATGGGACAGAATAAACAGAAATAAACTGGGAATGAAGCTTGTTGGGCTCACAAGGAGGGATGCTAACCCAAAAAGAAGATGTACAGGAAGCTGCAGCTCGTGCACTTGTGCAGCGCAGGAGCATATATATCTATTTAGTAGGTCCCGTTTTATCTAAAGAGCTTTCTTTCCAAGCAAACACTGATGGAATTGCAGTCTCAGTAATCAAGCAGGAGAAGGAATATCAGCTGGTGTAGTTTGTCATTTTATGATGCTAGAGGAAGGCTTGGGAAATGAGAAAAACTTCCAGATTCCTTCTGCTATGCAACTACTAAACTTAGCCTTACCTTTCAGAAGTTACTTGTAAAGAAGTTAGGAGTGATTGGCTTTAGCAGAGGTTTTTCTGCAAAAGCTTAGCGTCCAGCCATGCTTGTAACCTTTGGGTTGAAATGCAAAAGATGCTTTCTATTTCTGAAGGTTTTTAGCAAGAGTTGAAAATTATTGGTTCTACCATCCCTTTATTTGCCTTTATCTAACAGATAACATGGCATATTTTTGCTGTTTACACCCCCCCCCACCTAGCAACCAAAGGCTATTGAACACAAACAAAACCACTCAACTTGCTGTTTGTGAGATCAAGTGGAATAAATGAGAGACAGATGGAGGCAGGTAGAAAAACCTCTTAATCTTAGAAGAGCCAAGATATCATAGGAATCCCTGAATGCTGGAGCCAAAATAAGCTGACCCCTGAGTTGTGAGGGGAAGGAGTAAGAAGGAGGAAAAGAGAAAGGAGGCTATTGAACAGAGACCAGAATAGCAGGCCATCTGTAATTATTCCAACTTAGGAAGAGTCAAGATGGGCTCTGGGGAAACTGGCTTGATGCAAGAACAAGCAGCCATGTGGGTGCATTAGACTGCAGGTGAACATCTCGAAGAATAAGGGGTGAATGCATTCATGTCAAAGCTGAATTATGGAGACTGGTTTACAGCCAACCTTCTTCCTAAGGGATAAGGAAAGAGGGGGCATTTTCAGTCATTGTGTCCCATCTGTAGAATACCCTTACCAGGAAAGCCTGTCTGGTGCCAACTTTGATGTAATTCTGTCCAGTCCCCTGCAAAATTATTTTTATTTGCCTGCGGCATGCAGTCTAAACTGGGTTTGATTTTGGCTTTATCTGTCTGCTGAATTCATATGGTTCCGTTTCATTGCTGCTTCTTGATATTTTAACTTGCTTTAATTATATACTTTTAACGTGATAGCATAAGCGCCGGTTGGGCCCTCCAATTAAGATGTTCCTCCTCAGTACCAAAAATAATCATAGACATATAAATTGGATTCCAGGGATAAAACTAAACTAGAATCCCTTCCCCTTTGACATCTACTTTTTTGTGCAGAGGGGAGTGTATGTGTTTGAAAGAAAAGGAGGAGCATTCAACCATGCTAAAGATTCCCCACTTGCAGCCATCCAGCCCATACACAGGTTTAATATTTGGGTGAGAACCAGACCCATCTGATAGCCAGTCCTAGATACTAAGGCCCCAAAGTGGAGCAGCAGCCACATGCAAACTGTTTCCTCTAGTAGCTGGTGAATGGAATGTGTGGGCCAGGAGTGGCGAAGCTGTGGTCTTCCAGATGTGGTTGGATTCCAACTCCCATCAGCTCAAGGCAGCGTAGCCAAAGATCAGGGATGATGGTAGTTGTAGTTCAGCAGCATCTGGAGGATCATAGGCTCCTACACTTGATGCAGACTGAACTTTAGAGACAGTGGTTGTCAGGGACTGGGCAGAGGAGGAATGGTGGAGACTGCCTCCCCAGCCTGACCCTTCCAGAGAAGAAGACAGTTCAGAATTACAGCAGAGGTTTGAGGGAGATCACAGCTCAGAGGCAGATGAGGGGAAAAGCTGAGAAATAATGGGAGAGGAGGAAGAAGAGGGGGACAGATGATGGGGACAGACCACCACCAGAGGGGGACAGATGATGGACACAGTGTCTTTAGAAAGCATTCCAGATGCCTCCTCTCCCAGAACCCGGCAGGCATTGACAGTAGAAGAGCAGAGAGCTCAGAAGCAGAGGGCACATCTCAGCACCTGTAGTGATGAGACATAATGGGAGAGAGGGAGGGGGTGGAGACTCACTTGGAGCAACGCCATTTTCCAAGAGGCTGCATTTCTAAGCCTCTCTCTGTGCATATTGAATAAAAGGCAATTTGGTAAGAAAATTTCCTTGTCTTATCCATTCCTGGCAACCCACCGTGGGGGTTGGATCCTCTGACGCCTGACAGTGGTAAAGAAAAGAGATGAGTGCAAATAAAGGCTCCTCCTGGCATCCTTTTTATTGGGTATTCACGAATCATGCCCATGGTGGCATTAGGATTCGACAGATACCTGACCCCCGCTTTTAATGCTGTTTGTGCCTGCAAACATTTTGGGGTAGACATACTGTTCTGAAGCCACTTCCAACCCTACAGTTCTATGATTTTGTTGCACTCTAGCACAAGAGTGCCTCTCCAGATAGCAATAATGTGTTAGTACTGGGGAAGCATAACAGAATAATGAGAAAGGGTGTGTGGATGGGCCAGTATAAATCCACCACTACTGTTCTATTGCTGCATCAGAGACTTGTTTCAGAATACCAGGGAAAAACTGCACCAGTCTGGCTCTAAGAGAGACGGGCAGGTAAGTAAGAATTCTGACCCATAGTTATAGATGTATTTTACTCCTCAAATGGCATGTTTAAACTGGAAACCTCCAGATAACCAGCAAAGATTTATTACAGTACAGATCCAGCAGGAAGGATAACAAAACACTGCTTGTGGCCCATAACAAAAACTCTTATCTCACATGTCTTTAAATCACCTACATATAACCAACCTGGAAAAATGACAGTTTCTTCGCTGGAGACAGCCAACAATTTTGCGAAAGGTTTTTGCATATAAACAGTACTTTTGCCCCACTCTCTGTTCAAACAGGTTTCTGAAAGAATTCAAACCTGCTTAGAAAAGACAAGAAGTGGCCTTCCTTGCAGGATTGTTGTTTGTTGTTTAGTCGTGTCCGACTCTTCGTGATCCCATGGACCAGAGAACGCCAGGCACTCCTGTCTTCCACTGCCTCCCGCAGTTTGGTCAGACTCATGTTTGTAGCTTCGAGAACACTGTCCAACCATCTCGTCCTCTGTCGTCCCCTTCTCCTTGTGCCCTCAATATTTCCCAACATCAGGGTCTTTTCCAGGGAGTCTTCTCTTCTCATGAGGTGGCCAAAGTATTGGAGCCTCAGCTTCACGATCTGTCCTTCCAGTGAGCACTCAGGGCTAATTTCCTTAAGAATGGATGCGTTTGATCTTCTTGCAGTCCATGGGACTCTCAAGAGTCTCCTCCAGCACCATAATTCAAAAGCATCAATTCTTCGGCGATCAGCCTTGCGGGATACATCATACAAACCATAGCATTCTGTGTGTTTTTAAAAAAAAGATATTTATTAAAAGTTTAACAATTACAAACCATAGCATTCTGTTTCCTTTGCAGGGCAACCCATTCTCCGCAGCTGAGCCCTGACCTGATGGAAAATCCACGAACGCTGCTCATGCTGCTGCGTCAGAGGGACCTGGAAATCATGGCACTGAAAAATGCTAACAGGAGAGATCAATCAGACCGGCTTGGCTGTATTTTGCAGCAACTTGTGAAGTCAAGGCAAAAACTGCCACTTAGGAGGTGAGCAACATAAAGCTTTACAAAACTGGAGTATATACCTACTGAAAAGCACTTGCAAAATTACAGGTGAAAAAGAAGGGCCGTGGCTGTCAGGTAACACCTAGGGCAAGAGCTGCTTTGCTGGAAGGGGCAGGATTTATTCTGTGATGGGCAAAGTGTATTGTGCAGATGCGCCCATAGGAAGCAAGGTTCAACACCTTTCGCAAAGGTAGGATTAAAAACATGATTTGCAGATTAAAGTCATTTATTGAAGGTTAACATATTGGGTAGATTCAACCAAATTGTTGCATGTGCAGAACATGGTCCACTCATGCAATGGGACTTTCTCCCTTCTCCCTATCACACCCTCTAAAGTTGCTCTGGAGGGTTGGGGAAACCACCACAACGGGTTGGGGGCTATGGAGAGGAGATGGTGTGGAAGTTCAGTTGCGCAAGCAGATGTCATTCCCCATACACATACCCACCTTCCTGCTAGTGCTATGCTCTTCCAAACTTTTAAGGATATATCTCTCTAACAGATTATCATAATGTGTAGGATTGTTAAGCTATTTCTGTATTGGGATTTTTTAAATAGTTTGACACTGGCTCCATTCTGGTGTGTTGACAGACCTGTGTGATTCCCCACTACACCAGAGATGAGTTGCACATTGGTGTGCAACTGAGCTACAAAAGTCACACAGTAATCTGGATGCAAGCCATTTGCAACATGAGGTGCATGGGAGGTGCATATATAAATCCTCTAAGCGGTTTGCAAAAGGATAAAACAAGACGTTAAAATTATCAGTGTAAATGGTTAAAAATAAGCATATGAAAGCATGCAAAAGATATAGTGAAATCAACACTAGCTAAAAGGAGAGAAAATGCATGTAACTTCTACATGTTGGATGGCCATCTGTCATGGATGCTTAGCTGAGATTCCTACATTGCATGGGGATGACTAGATGACCTTTGGGGTCCTTTCTAACTCTACAATTCTATGATTCTATGTCTAGATAGAGTGGAACAAAACTATTTAAGCAGGTGGAATAAAGAGTACAGTGAAGGTGCCTGATGTCCTTAGGCAGGGAGTTCCAAAGTGTAAGTGCTCCCACATTAGAATAGAATATCAATTTCTTAAGAGTGTGGAATGGATATTACAAGGCACCTGTAACAGTGCCAGTTCTGAATTCTACTATCTCAGTCTACTGCTTTCTTCTATGTGTGATGTCTCAGACTCAGAGAATGGCTCTGAGTCAGAATTATGACTCATTAGACTTAGTTCCCCAGGTGAAATCCCTATTTGTCCTGTATCTTGCTACACAGAGAACTGTCTGTGTACGAAATTTGCAAGTCTCCTCTCCAGCAGAAAGAGTTACTCCTGTACTGAGTTTTCTCCTTGTTTTCAGGAGAGAGAGAGTGGAAGGGAGTGTTATACTTTGCAATCCATCCCATGATTCACTGGACAAACAATGCCATTCTCCCTCCGCAAAGGAAGCAAGGGAAACAAAGCACCCATTCAAACCTAGTGATCCAGAACATGAATAATCTGCATGTGGCAAAGGGCAGCCACCAATGCCTGTTATAAGAATAGCCTTTTTTAATGGTAGGATTCCAGGACATCTATTGTGCTATGAAACTCTGACTAAGGTCCCTTTTGATCTGGCCCATAAGAAGTAAGTTCAGCGTGGTGGTAGTATAGAATCACTAGTATCTGAAATGCTTAGCTATTAAAGCACTCTTACCTCCAGCTTTAAAAATGACTTGATCTGTAAACATGAACAGGAGATCATACTTCTCTCTGTGCCACGATAAGCTTTGGTTACTGATTTCTGCAGATCTGGTGCAGTTGATAGCACAGGTAATTTTTATTTTGTTTGGGTGCCAATCATAAGTCCAATGAAATAAAGTTATTTTAAAAATAAATAATGCAACCATTAGTAAATGTGCATACAGACATGCCACTCAATGAAATCAGTTCAAAACTTTATGCTTTGCTGGGCAGAAACAAGCAAGTTTTGTTTACCATCTGGATAGCTCAGTTGGTTAGAGCGTGGTGCTGAGAATGCCAAGGTTGCAGGTTCGATCCCCATAAGGGACAGCTGCTCTGCATTGCAGAGCATTGGACTAGATGATCCTCAGGGTCCCTTCCAAATCTATGATTCTAACACAAATGGAGTGGTTAATTGAAGAAAACCTGCCACACCAGAATGTTGTAGGCATTTTAATGTCTCCGACGAGTGACGGGGAGATTGTCATCTAAATGACAGAAGGGTGGACCTCAGGCTGGGAGGTAGTTCCCAGGATATAGCACTACCGTTAAGGTCCTGCTCTGTGCTCTGACAGAGGACAGCTTCACTTTGTAAGCAGGAAGAACCAGGTATGCATATCTACTCTCATTCATCTTAATGATTCAAGGAAGTTGTACAGGAGAAGACGGTCCCTAAAGTATTTTGATATCTAGGCTGCTTTTCCTAGCCATGAAAAGGTTAGAATTCATCATCATCATCATCATCATCATCATCATCATCATCATCATCATTATTATAAAAAAAATCTGGTTTAGGCTATAAATGAACAAACAACCAGCATGGGCTGTAGTTCAGTAGCAGAGCACCTGCTCGACACACAGAAGATTCTGGGTTCAATTCCTAGCAACTTCAGGTAGGGTTAAGATTGCCTCCGGTCTGAAACCCTGGAAAGCTTCTGCCAGTCAGTGCAGAGAGTACTCAGGTAGATGCACCAATGGTCTGACTCGATATAAGGCAACTTCCTTTGTTCCACAGTTTAAAAAAAAAAAAAACCAAAAGAATACCACCCCTAAAAAGTAAAAGCTCACAAAATGGGTTGGGTGTGAGGGAGTTGTGCTGCTCACCACCAGTCACGACAAAGGTACTATTCAACAGCCATCCATGGCCCTTCCACAACCACATTCTATATGGCTGTTGGTAAGGGAAGCGGGTGGCGCTGTGGGTTAAACCACAGAGCCTAGGACTTGCTGATCAGAAGGTTGGCGGTTTGAATCCCCACGACAGGGTGAGCTCCCGTTGCTCAGTCCCTGCTCCTGCCAACCTAGCAGTTCGAAAGCACGTCAAAGTGCAAGTAGATAAATAGGTACCGCTCTGGCGGGAAGGTAAAAGGCGTTTCCGTGCACTGCTCTGGTTCGCCAGAAGCGGCTTAGTCATGCTGGCCACATGACCCAGAAGCTGTACGCCGGCTCCCTTGGCCAATAAAGCGAGATAAGCGCCGCAACCCCAGAGTCGGTCACGACTGGACCTAATGGTCAGGGGTCCCTTTACCTTTACCTTAAGAGCACTGAATGCACCAGCTAAGGCAAGAATCGCCTTTCCCAACAACATAATTTACATTTGAGTGCTGGCTGGGGAATTGTGATAATCCACAAAACAGAAGTGCTGCTGTGAAGGAAGCCCATCAGATTTCCACACAGCAAATGTGTAACAGCCCTACATCTACTACTGCTCAAGATAGTTTTCTGGCTTCGCTTATCAATACTATTAATCCTGCTGGTTTCCTTCTTTGCTTTTCTGAATTTAAGTTGACGCTTGAGTTTAAGCTGTGCAGTTAAGAACTGACAGCCAAGGAAGAGTTCATTCTTGCCTTGAAGCAATGTTCCTATATAAATTGTAGGCTGCTATCCCACAAGGCATGACATCAGTCCTGGAGAGGGGATGTCAAGAGGAGGCAAGCCACAACCAGTGCAGGGAGCAACCAGAGCAAGGTTCTCAGAAGAGAAAATGTGCTCAGACTTCAATTTTTACCAACTTGGCGTACTCATCAGTATCAGATCAGAGAAAGGACAGGCAGGTTATACCAAACCTCACCTTGTTTATGGATCACATGCAGCCACTCACAGCTTTTTCAATTTCAAGCAATTTCATGCAAGTGCACAATGACCTGGAACACAAACCCCGCACAAATGGGGAATTGCCTGTATTTCAGTAGTACAAATCAAAGTTTCCCTTTATCCTATTATATAATTCTGATTGCCATCGATTTTGCTGTTGCCTTTGTCATCACTCTTCCACACGCACACACCCATTTAAATGTATTTCTAATGCTCCACTTTGTGAACGCAAACTGTTTTTATTTAGTTTTTAATTATATCCTGCCATATTTAGTAGGATCTTGAGGATCCAGGGAAAACTCAGTTTCACAGGGACTTCAGTTTCAGGGCAGAATATCATTAGGGTTTCTAAGAAGAGTGTCTTCATTAAGAAGTATAGATCACAGAGCATAGGAAACTATCAGTTTCTGAGATAAGCTAATGTGTATGTTAGTGGATTTCTTTTTCTCCAAACACAGCTGAAAAATTGAAGCAAAGTTTTAATTCCGCTTGTTTGCAGGAGCCCAAAGGAAGAAGGTCTTCAAGCAGAAGTTGACCAGCTGAATGATGAGATGAAGACTATCAAGAAGAACCATGAGAAGGTGAATGAGTAACAGACACAGTAACACTGGGTGGCCTTGTTGACAGGCCAGATGTCACAAACACCTCCAAGTGGCAATTTAAAGAACAAAGTAAACAAACAGCGATATTGAAAAATGGACCAGAAGATAGGCAAATCTTGCTGGGTCAGGGATCAGCCGGTTGATTCCCAGGATTCCTCCTGGATTCTTTTTTTTAAAAAATTCCAGCTTTCAGGTGGATGCTGACTGCACCTAGTAATTTGCTAATTTTTAATTTGTTAGTAAGGTCTATGTCTTTTCATGTCTATTTGAGTCAGTTCTTAAGGACTTTGCCCTGAAAACGTCAGTTCAGGATTAGGTATCTGTCTTATATTTTCTCTAGAGACGATGGATGTAAATTTTAGATTCTATGCAATCTCCTTACTTACCTTCAGTACACCTTTCACTCTCTTGTCAATTTAGGGTTCAATCTCCTCCCTGGCATATTTTCATAATTTCTCCTGGTTGATTTTAATATTTCTAGCAATGTGCTTCCCAAATTCCTTTTTCACTTGCCTTATTGTCAACATACATTTGTTTTGCCAGAGTGTGTGCTCATTTGGGCATAACACTTACGATGGTTTTTTGTATTTCACATATTCATAAAAATAATGAGAAACAGATGTTGACGATTGTACACTTGATCCAAAACTGCCTTTCTTCGACTTTCTAGCTCTCATTAACAGCCATGTGAGACCTATTCCAGAGTCACTTATGAAAAGGCCTTATATCTCCAATGTAAACAAGTATCAAGTGATGCATGTTGGAGCAAAAAATATATAAATTTCAAGTAGATGCTCATGGGGTCTGAACTGGAGGTGACAGACCTTTTCTGTGGACCACCCTGAGACCTCTGGGTATAGGGCAGAATATAAATTCAATAAATAAAAATAATAAAATAATTTTAAAAACTGGATGTATTAACACTCTGCTTTGTACACTCTGTGTGGAATTTGGGCTGCAATACTATGTACACTTGCCTAGGTGTAAACCCTACAGAACTTGGTGAAACTTACTTCAGAGTAAATATGTATAGCACCAGGCTGTTAACTGCAGGCTCCTGGCCTAATATTTAATAGGCTCTTTCAGCATATATGCTTTGCAGTTTGAGTTCATGAGTTTAACATCTGCTGTAATCCCAAGAATCTTTAAGCAGAAATACAACCATTTTATCTGTGATCATGCAAACTCATCTCAGTAGCTGGGAATATTAGTGAAATCAGTGGAACAAGGAAAGAAGCATTATCCTGGAATAAACTTTAAATGAGGCCTGTCTTTTGCTGGTTTTTCTTTTGCTGGCAGATAATTTGGGCCTTTGCTTTTTGATAAGCCTCTAATTTCCATTATTTCTCTTGTCCATCATTCCCTTTTTATTTTTCAAAAGGAGATAAAAGTGATGGAAGATAAACTTGCAAAGACAAAAATGCAGGTTATGTATTTGCAAAAGGCAGCAAAACCCCCCTCAAGAAAGACGGATGACGAATCAGACACCGAGTCTAGCACTTCCTTGGATGAAGGGGCCAAATTAGCATGCGAGTGCTTCGAGGTAGGAGCTACAATGCATACTCTCTGATGCACTGTACTGCAAATCGGTAGAATGCAGTGTTTTTATTTTACATTTAATAATAATTAAGTCACAGAAGTATAATCATTCGGTGATATCCAGCTAAGTCATACTTGAAGTAGGCTCATTGATTTCATGGCTTCTACTGAGTGTGACTAACATTGGATATAACCCACTGCACATATTCTTGCTGCTGCTTCTGGTTTTACAAGTTGCTGATGTAAGGCAACAGTTTTTGAAAGAGACGAAGGTGGTACGCAGAGCTGTACCTACGGGGTGCGCATAGACATTTCTTGTGTCCCACACAATTATTTATGTTCAAACAGATTTTTGAAGCAAGAAATACGTACGTAGCTCATCATCAGTTCCTCCATTCCACTTCAAATTATTTTCTGTTTCCAGCCACGGGCTGAATTTTTATCCAATCCTGAACCTTATCTACCACATGTATATTTTTCTTTGGCAAGAATGCTGCCTGTTGCCTCACTACTTTGCTGGTGTGTTGTCAGCATAGTAATTCTGAAAAATGCCAGTACATGGGGGGGGGAGGGACGTGACGCTAGGACAGGGGTAGGCAACCTAAGTCCTGGGGGCTGGATGTGGCCCAATCGCCTTCTAAATCTGGCCCGCGGATGGTCTGGGAATCAGGGTTATTTGTGGGGCCTGCCTGGTATTTTTACATGAGTAGAATGTGTCCTTTGATTTAAAATGCACCTCTGGGTTATTTGTGGGGCCTGCCTGGTATTTTTACATGAGTAGAATGTGTGCTTTTATTTAAAATGCATCTCTGGGTTATTTATGGGGCATAGGAATTCGTTCATTCCCCCCCCCCCCCAGAATATAGTCTGGCCCACTACATGGTCTGAGGGATGGTGGACCGGCCCATGGCTGAAAAAGGTTGCTGACCCCTGCGCTATGAAGCATTTATAGCATGCAACTGGCATTTATGATGCCTAACCCTGGGGAAGAAAGGCTTTTGGAGACTGCTACAAAAAGTAATATTTTGAAGGCTTTTCGGTGTGTGTGTTTTTTAAACTGGCTCACACCGCACCATAAATCCCTTGTTTAATGCAAGTGTGTGCCTCCTGTCAATCACCAGAAGGGAGGGAGGCAATGAGAAGCAGAGGGTTGGTGCAGTGTTGGTATGCTAGGGGGTTGGCTAGATGCTGGGAAAACATTTGAGGCCAGAAACAGAATACTAGACATTCTTCATGCATCAGGATTCAAATGAGATTAAACTGCATGAGCTGCAAATGGACTCACTAGCTGGTGATTTATTAGTGCAGTTAGCAGGGGAAAGTCCTGGCTGTGCTAGATGCAGAATGATATCCCAAGGAACTGGAAGAGAGATGGAAGCCTCTTGCGCTCTCTCTCTCTCTCTCTCTTTTACAGTATTTCCTAATGTTCCTTTCACAACAGACCTGCCTTCCTCTATCAGCGAATGACTGTACAGTTTATATGTAAACAACTGAAGAAAATGTGGAAGAGCTAAACCACTTTTAAAAAGAAAGAAAGCACAGGACAGCAGCATCAAGACCCAAAACTAGTCAAAACCACCACGTGACATCAGTGGTAGCAGCGTATTGTCAGTTTGCACTTACTGCAAATGCCCCTCTTAAACAGCAAGCCCAGGTTGCTTAAATGGACACCTTGGCAGGAACTCTCATGCACCCATTGGTTAGGGTGTTGGACTAGGACTTGCGAAAGCGGGCTTCAAATCCCCACTCAGCCCTGAAGCTCTTGGGCCAGTCCCCATCTCTTAGCCGAACCCACCTCACAGAGATGTCAGTGAGGATGAAATGGGAAGGAGGAGAACCACGTACACCACCTTGAGAACCTTGTATAAAAAGGTTGTATATAAATGTAATAAAATAATAAATGGTTGTAGCTGGGATGCCACTGAAGCTTTTCATATCAAGTGCACAACAAACCCACAAAGGAGAGTGCATGCAGTGGCGGAGCCTCATGCTCCAGCACTGGGGGGGTAGAGAGACGGCAGGGGTGGGGCTGGAGCGCGTCCTGGGGGCATGGCGCACCGCCTGCAGGGGCGTGACGCGTGTCCTGGGGGCATGGTGTGCCACCTGCGGGGGCAGGGTGCCCAGCACGGGGGGGGGGGCACTCCCCCTGCACTCCTCTTCCTCTGCCAGTGAGTGCATGCAGTCCCATGAGAAGGGCTGAAACCAAGAAAAATATAGCTCCGTCTCAGCACTCTCCTCTGTGGGTTTATTGTGAGCATCAATTAGAGATCAGGGGGCAGAAGTCTTTGCCCTTCTCCCTGTCAATGACTCGCTCTTGTTGCCCATGGTTGCCTGGGCAATGCTGAGCTGTAGAAAGCTCATGTGAGAAACAGGAAAAGCTCCTGAGCCAAAGTGAAGCTTTGTCCCTCAGAGATGACAGTAACTCAAAGCTCAGAGGAAAGTCTAAGCAGCTCCACAATGGCAGCTTAACAGGAAAGGTTAGGAGAGGTGTGAGATTGGGTCAAAGCAATTACTTCATTATCTTGACATCATTTCAGAGAGCAGAGGTGTGCACAGAGCAGCCAAGTGGGTAATGGGAGGAGAGGGAGAGGAGAGGGAGCAGAGCGGGCAAGAGCAAACAGATATTTTACAAATCACGTGCCCAGGGACACCGCAGGCTCTTGTGCAGAGAGCCTCCAAGCTTCTTCAGAGTGCGCTGTTCCGACAGTAAAGAAAAAGACCAGCACCCCAGCACCATACTTCTTAATGGGGATGATGATTCCTGGATGGAGACTTTGTGAGCCAACTTAGTAAGAGAAATGAGTTTTAAAAGATTCAGAAAAAGTCCAGAACTTACATAACTGCTTACATAAGCTGCAGCGTCAAAGCAAGGCAAGAGAAGGAGGACACCTTGAGGCTGCAGCTGAGCTGAAGGGGCATTGAATAAGAGCATAAGAAGAGCCCTGCTCAAGGTTCATCAAATTCAGCATCGAATTTCATAGGCTGGCCCGCGAGAAGCTTCTAAGCAGTCAAGAGATCTGGATTGTGTATGTTCACCCTGTGCAAACCCCTCTGCCCTGCATAATCCCTTCCCTGACTTGGGGTAGCTCAGTCGGTAGAGCATGAGTCTCTCAAACTCAGGGTTGTGGGTTTGATCCCCATGTTGGGCAAACGATTCCTGCATTGCAGAGTGTTGGACTAGTTGACCCTCGTGGTACCTTCTGAATCTACAGTTCTATGATTCTATTGCTATTTATGCATTTGGGACCAAGTGTGCAGAGAGGCAGATTGCTGAATGTGTGTTGGCAATCTCCATGACCCACAACCCTCACCCTGCTGAAGGCACGCCCCTAATGCATCAATAGCATTGGAGATGGGCCTGTGTGGGGCATGAGCATGCATATCTCCACATGACTATAATTTTTAGGTTTCTGGAGGAGGACACATTTGATAGGCTGTCTGGAATCTTGAAAAGAAGCACCTCTATCACAGCAGTCTTCACCTAGTACCCTTCAAATGTTTCAGACTACAACTCCCACTATCCCCGGCTGTTGGCCCTGCTAGTTAGGGCTGGTGGGAATTCCAAAGCACACAAGCTTTGTGGATGCCTTTCATAAGGTCAGTGCCATGAAGACAAGAGAACCCAGAAGAGTGTGAGGGCTAGATACTTGACTCCTCAAAACCCACATACGGAAACACCGCCATCTAGCAAAATTCTATATAGTCCATCTCAGTTGAATGAAGCAGCCTCAGAAGCACACCATCTTAGTATAATAAGTTAATAAGGGTTCATAAGTATAACCGCCTTCTGAGGCAAATCCTTGTTTAATGGGTTTTCCTGAAAAATAAAGGCTGAGGGATTATGACTTGTCAAAGGGCACTTGGGTTCAACCGCTGAACTGAGCTGTGATAGGAACTCAGATCCAAGTTCAACACTTTTAACATAGTGACAGTAAGCCACATTCATTTTCACAGTTGTAGTGTCTATATATCAAATCAGAGAGCTGCCTTGGTTAATATGTTGTAAAAGGGCTAAGTAGACCAATAGACTGGCTTTATGGTCTCTCTCTCTCTCTCTCTCTCTCTCTCTCTCTCTCTCTCTCTCTCTCAGTGTGTGTGTGTGTGTGTGTGTGTGTGTTGTGCTTGAATAGTGTTTGAACTACTCAGGTTTTGTTATGGCAGTGTGGCATCCTTCATTTTAAAAACAAAAACAGCTGCCCCACCCTGCCTGGGTTAAAACTTCTGTTATTTCCTATGTGTATGTACATTAAAGTAACTTGTCCTAGAACTAACACTCTCACACACACTTATATCCCACTTTTCTCAAATTGTGTCTGTATCAGTACTAATACCCCTCTCTCTTTCTCTGTCAGATGATGGCAACCCATCTTTAAAAGTACAGTACTGTTACTGTAGACCCAAGATTAATTGCAATAACTGGCCAGTAGGGGGCACTCACTGCTTGCAAAAGTTTGATGCCTGTTTTTCTTCTCTAAAGCGAACACATCAAAGCCCCAGATTATGCAGAGTGCTGGCATATGCTATTTCACTTGAATTTTGTTTCAATATATAGCCTGCTTCATCGCAAATGATCAGAATAAAATATTTTTTTAAAAAGGCAAAATATAAAGTAACTCCAGTCACAAAACATCACCACTAATAAGATCCTGAGCATTTGCCAAAAATATTTGATTCTGCTCTAGGATGGCTGTTGAGTCCCAGGCCTTACAGGCTGGTTGCATTTACAACTGAATCAGTCTTTTCCCTCTGGCCAAGCTCTGCTAAGGCATTGCCCTTGCCTTTTCTGTCGCTTATTGTCTCCTACTACCTCCTTTGTCCCATCCTTGCTTCCCTTGTGCCCCCGCTCCCCATCACTGCAGAGACGTATGGCTTATCCCATTGTTCTTTTCACTCTTTTCAGTCTTAAAACAACTGGTCTACCAGGTGGGTTGAGGATTAGTCCTAGCACTTTTATACAAATATAAGGTGGAACTGGGAATACAGTATACAGCTCTGATCACCCCATCTAAAAAAAAGAAAGAAAAAGAAAAATATATACCATATTTTTCACTCTATAGGAAGCACCCGACCATAGGACGCACCTTGTTTTAGAGGGGGAGAACAAGAAAAAAAAATTCTCCCCCTCTCTGTTCTACGCCCCTTCAGTGAAGCGGCAGGAGAAACGGAGCCCCTTCCATTTCTCCTCCCGCTTCGCTGAAGGGGCGCTGCGCAGCTCTCCCTCTCTGTTGAAGCCAGGAGAGTCTTGCTCTCCCAGCTTCAGCAAAAGGAACCCGAAGCCTCCGGAGCGCAGCGGGAGCTCCTGCTGCGCTCCAGACGCTTCACGTTGCTTTTGCTGAAGCCTGGAGAGTGAGAGGGGTCGACCCCTCTCGCTCTCCAGGCTTCAGCGAAAGCAACGTAAAGCCTCCGGAGCGCAGAGGGAGCGCTCCCTCTGCGCTTTGGAGGCTTCGCATTGCTATCGCTGAAGCCAAAGAGCCTGCATTCGCTCCATAGGACGCACACATATTTCCCCTTAATTTTTGGAGGGGGAAAAGTGCATCCTATAGAGCGAAAAATACGGTACATTGCAGAGCTGGAAACGCTACAGAATAGGGCAGCCAGAATTATCAGGGAACTAGACCACCTCCCCCGAAAGGAAAGTCTAAAATGCTTGGAGCTTTTAAGATTAGAATACAAGGTGACTAAGATGGGACTTAGGAAAGAATGCACACTGTGGAGAAAGTAGATGTTTTTTCTCTCCCTCCCACATCATGGTAGAGGTTTGGTCATACAGTGAAAGATGAAAGGAAGTACTTCATTGCACAATGCATAATTGATTTCTGGAGGTTGCTCCCCTAATGTGTTGTGATGGTCACTGGCTTAGATGCCTTTTAAAAGGGGCTAGACAAATTCATGAAAGGCTGATCTATCAATAGCTGGAAAATGCAACAAATAAATTCTAACTTGAGGGACTGGCAGGCACTAATAGTATCTGACTTTCCCCCCCTCTTGTGTAGCTCTGGTCAGAGACAGGAACAAAGGTAACATCAGAAACAAGTGATCTACGGCTTCGGAGAATTCCAAAGCACACAAGCTTTGTGGATGCCTTTCATAAGGTCAGTGCCATGAAGACAAGAGAACCCAGAAGAGTGTGAGGGCTAGATACTTGACTCTTCAAAACCCACATACAGAAACACTGCCATCTAGCACAATACTATATAGCCCATCTCAGTTGAATGGAGCAGCCTTAGAAGCAACCAGTATGATCTTATTAAGTGTACCATCTTAGTATAATAGGTGTGCCTGCTTACAGTTTGCCTGTAATCACACTTTACACCTTGTTATTGTTCAAGTTCCCTTACTCCAGTGAAATTCAGAGGAAGATAGACTTTTGATTAGGTGTTAATGGCTCTGAAATGAGAACAGACTGAACTATGAAGCCCAAAATTTGGGATCTGCTCCAAAGTAGTGCCAAACCTTTGCAGTTGTTTTGCAGCACTTGGTAGCAAAAAACCCATGTTTTGCAGCACCCCTCCAACTGAGCAACTGCTACTCAAAGCTAGGGTCATAGCTATCACCCCAAAACGCAATTGCAGGAAGCACATCAAGAAATAATTCAAGCCTGGGTTCCAAGTTAATGCCAGAGTTTTGCTTTTGTTTTGCAAACTTTGTGAAGTGAAACCCTCACATTTTGTCACACCCCCAACAGTGGGTCACTGCCTTACTCAGTGTGGGTTGGGGCCATAATGGACTTACTCCCGACAAGCACTGTTTCTGGGAGAGAAATTTTGGGGTTCATAGTAGTTATTGGTGCTGGGACAATATTTCCCTATTTTAAAATAGGACCTGACACAATGGAACCCAAGGTCTGTGTATGTGTGTGTGCACAAGTAAGTGTGTACACCCATACTTCAACACAAGTATTCCCACCCGCCCCCAAGGAGCAGGCAATGCCTTCAAGAGGTAATCTGGCAGTCCTACATAAGGAATATACTTCTGGGCGGTCCCTTGTTTGGGCATGGGTTTGCTTAGTGTGCTTCATGGAGGGAACATAGCTTTCACTTCACAGAATTACTGTACTTTCCCGTGTATAAAACGCCCCCATGTATAAGACGATCCCTATTTTTTGAGCCCAAAATTAAGAAATAAATAATTGCAACATTCTGTGTGTAAGACGACCCCCAATTTTAAACTTAAAAAATTTGGGGGGAAATATAGTCTTAAACATGGGTGGCGCTGTGAGTTAAACCACAGAGCCTAGGACTTGCCGATCAGAAGGTCAGCGGTTCGAATCCCCACGACGGGGTGAGCTCCTGTTGCTCGGTCCCAGCTCCTGCCAACCTAGCAGTTCGAAAGCACATCAAAGTGCAAATAGATAAATAGGTACCGCTCCAGCGGGAAGGTAAATGGTGTTTCCGTGTGCTGCTCTGGTTTCGCCAGAAGCGGCTTAGTCATGCTGGCCACATGACCCGGAAGCTGTACGTTGGCTCCCTCGGCCAATAAAGCGAGATGAGTGCTGCAACCCTAGAGTCGGCCACAACTGGACCTAATGGTCAGGGTTCCTTTATAGTCTTAAACACGGGAAAATACAGTATTGTTACCTTTCTTTAATCGGGTGTTTATCGGTGTCATCACTCTTCCTGCTTTTTAGTTTGGAAGTATTCCGCTGAGTGAAGAGGAAAAAGATGAAATAATCCTGAAATTAGAGAAGGCACACAATGGTGCGCTGGAGGGAAGCTCACAGGAAAGGTAATTGCAAACCACAGGCTTTCTGACAGAAAGGACCAAAAGGGGCTTGGTAGAAAAACAGCAGCCTGTCTGAGGTAAGTCGGTATCTGAATACACCTGAGAATGTAGTAGAAGCATCCAAGGCAGCCTGTGGTCCCCTGTTTATTGCTTTACATCCTCTCAGCAGTGCATACTTTTGGACCAGGATAGCTCAGTCAGTAGAGCATGAGACTCTTAATCTCTGGGTCATGGGTTGGAGCCCCACATTGGGGGTTGGACTAGATGACCCTTGAGGTACCTTCCAGCCCTACAACTCTATGATTCTATGAAAAGTGAGCAACGATTCTAGCAATGAGAAGGCTAGATTCTATACACACTTGCATACCCCTCTTTGTTCTCCATCCAAGAAAGCGACAGTTCACGCCATGCTGCAGCCAAAGAAAAATACGCAAGGAGTGTGAGAAGCAGGGTCAGTAGGGAGTAAGGCTGGGGAGGGGATGAGGTCTGGGGAGAGTCCTGGGGGCCAGTTAGAGAGGCTTGAGACCCCACTGGGTCTGAAGTTCCCCGCCTCTGTTATGGGGAAATCAGTACTTCCCTATGTATTTCCTCTTGTGCAGGGGGGGGGGGCAAGCAAGGAGTTGTATAGCATGGCAGCCACCATGGATTCCCACCCCCCAACCTAGTGTCCCTGCTATGCCCCCTTTTTGAAGCTGTCAGTTTCTGTCCTCTTTAAAGTGAATGTGGGAAGTAGAGAGAGAAGATGCCTCTGCTGCAGCAGACAGGGAGTGTGAAATATCTGTGAAGTACCACCATTGCCACCCTGCAGAAATAGCAAATCCAGATTACATTGGGGGCGGGGGCTCCAGTGCTAGAGCACAAATTTTTCGATTAGTTCTTTTGCAAGAACAAGCAAATAGGTTATGCACTTTGCGCCACAGCACCCCATTTTATGTGGATAGGATATCACACTGCTCCTAATGTATTGGGTATTGGGTATTCATTTGAATACAGCACTAAAAAGAATATGTGGGTTTGTTTGTTGAAAATTCTGGATTAGCCCAAAGGATGCATGTCAAACTCCCCACCCCCACTTTACAGTTCACCTTCTGAACCATCCTCATTGGCTGTCCTCACCTCTCAGAAATCAGACAACTTTTCAGTGCCTCACCCCAAAATGGTAGAATCGTCTTCCTTCAATTCGGCACCATCTTCTGAGAAAATGCCCATGGGGAAAAGTAAGTTCAAATTCTTCCTCTTTAAAAATAGTCCGGCATTGACTAGTTGATCAAAAAGTCGTACATGCAATGCATACTCACACACACACATGTGCAATGCACATAGGCCCAATGTAACCTAGGTTAATTTCTTGGACTATTCTACGTATGCTAAAGCATTGACTTTACTGACAGAGCCTCTTCAGACTTGTGGGTTGGGTTTTTCTCTAATGTATTCTGTAACAGGGTCATTGCCACAATTATGACAGAATGCGAGCCTCTTACACCCCTTCCTCACACAACTGCTGCCCCCCTGCGGTTGGCCAGTTGTGCCTTGTTTAGCCATTAGTCTCCTCCACCACTTCCCTATGAGCTCACAGCCCTTTCCCCAGACAGGAAGAAATCTGGGGGTGCTCAATTAAATATTGGATCCCCAGAACCTAGAATAAGACACCCTGCATCACTTACAGTTCACTCAGAGAGTAAAGCAAACCCACAGCTCCCTACATCTGCCAGAGAACAGATTAACTTTTTGGTCTTTAACAACCCCGATCCTAGACTCCTGAAGCAGGAACCCAAACATTCCAGGCACATGGAGAATTACAAGAATCATTGATACTGGCAAACACATGCACCTCTGACCCCACTAACCAAATCACAAAGCTTTATAAAGAACAGGAGGGGAGATGACAAATAGACAAAGCAGTTTAAAAGAAAAGAGCACTGTGGCTCAGAGCTATGTAGGCTGACCTAAGGCAGCAACAACAGGCTTCTCAGTCTACTCACAAGTAACAGAACATAGATGATCCGTTGCAGGTCCTCCCCACCTCCCCCATGAGCAGTAAGGGACAGCATGAACCCCTGATGAAGGGGTGGGGGGCAAAGGCTTGCCTTCAACAGCTCACTCTTAAGAACTCTATACCCCACCATTTGTTGCCATTCAGTGACCAATCAGCCGAGTCATGTTTTGCAGGTAAAAAGAAAATCTACACCTTTGGGGGAATAACAGAATGCAAGGGTCAGAGGAAACTAGTTACAGTATATAGTTTAACTAACTAGTGTTAGTCAGTATAACTAACTAGTGTTCGTTAATGCCAGTATTTCCCACCACCTCACTCCTAGACAAGACTAATCTATAAACTATGGATTCATAAGCCTGGTAGGAATTATGTATTGGCCTCACCCAGTAGAAATGGAGAGGCAGTAGACCAGGGCTTTCTGTGCCAGCAATAATAGTGCATTAGTGGTATATTTTATACTGGACCATCTACACATCGTTCTGCTTTATTAGTTGTTCTGTGATGCTTCCCCAATGTTACTGCATTATTGGCATCCAGAGGGGTGCTCTTGTGCTACAAAACAACAAAAATGGAACAAAAACAACCCTCAACATTTGTGGTATAAAAAAATTATGGGGCATGCACTCATTTGGGGGAAAAGCAGCAGTCTGCCCTGAAACCTTTGCAAGGGTGAAGAGTATTGAAAGTGTAATCCCATCATAAGCACAAATCAGCATGAATGTACCATGCACAATAAAATGGATGTCTGGAGGGGCCAGGAAGCAGGCCTAGCAACCAGAATGCAGAGAGATGTATGAAATAGCTCCCCACCTTGGGAGGGACCCTAGTAAAGGGGGAAGTCTACAGAAATAGAGACCACTATCCCATTGATTCCCTTTCCACTGGTAATTAGCAAAAGGTGTGAGGTCATGATTAAGTAAGCAGATTGTTGAAACAGGCTGGCATTTAGCATCCTAGTCAGGTTGAAACAAGCCCATTTTATGTAGTCACCTGGTTCTATCACACGACGAGACTTCCAGGTAGGATGACATCTCAGGTTGCTTGATCTCAACAAGTTGGATTTTCCTTCTTCCCTTTACTATTGACAAAGAAGCTCACACTCTTGCTGCTGCTAGAAGGAGGCAAATGAAGGCAGCCCAGTTAAACAAACACTTGTCTACATTGAGCTTCCCCCTGCTGAGGCTATGATTACAATCCTATACACACTTACTTGGGAGTCTGTCTCATTGAACTCCATTGGGCATACTTCTGAGTAGACAAATATAGGACTGCATTGTTTATTTCCCATGTCCATGGATGGCTTTCCTGCAGTAAAACTTGTGGATGAATCATCATCACGCTATAGGAGCACAATCCTGCAAACAAGTAATTGTGGCAGAATAGCAGAATGTCCTTTCTATATGGTGAGATTTCTCTGTAAAACAAAGCATGTATTTACCCTTGGCTATGCTATTCATCAGTGTTCTTACAGGAACACAAACCAAAAGCCCTAAAGCTGCCACCCTGTGCTCATAACCCACCAAGCATGGGGTCAGGCCTGGTCAGGCTGGCAGAGGCAACCTTCCCTTTTGCCATGACAAGAGAAAACTATTGCAAAGCTGGCTGGTTACTCCTTCTCTGTCCCCATGGTCTTCTAAAGCATAATAAGCACTGCTTTACCTCCAAAGTTCCCTCGCCTGTCCCTGCTGACACATAAATCTTTTCTCAAGCCCTCCATGGAATTGATAACATGGACACCATACTGAGCTGCTTGAAAGCTTCCCTTCTTTTTCCCTTCCTTTCTCCTGGCCCAGTGCCACCTAGTGGTCCTTGTGTTTATACAGCTACCCCACACCATACCGTATTTTTTGCTCTAAGACTCACTTTTTCCCTCCTAAAAAGTAAGGGGAAATGTGTGTGCATCTTATGGAGTGAATGCAGGCTGCGCAGCTATCCCAGAAGCCAGAACAGCAAGAGGGATTGCTGCTTTCACTGCGCAGTGATCCCTCTTGCTGTTCTGGCTTCTGGGATTCAGAATATTTTTTTCTTGTTTTCCTCCTTCAAAAACTAGGTGCGTCTTATGGTCTGGTGCGTCTTATAGAGCAAAAAATACGGTATGTTGTTGCCTCCTCTTGTCCCTCCTTCTCTCAAGACCGTTTCCTCTTCAGGCTATGGATCCCTAGCCTGACTTCTCCAGCCCCTTCCTTAAACTACTTTTCTCTGGGCCTTGTGTCCTTTCCTACACTTCCTGAGGGAATCTCTTCCTACATGAGCATTTTCATCTGCCCTGCCTGCAGCCTTCCCTCTGTCCCTCCTTACAGGAGTCTGATCCTGGACTCATGAACATCTGGCCTTTCACTTGTGTCAAAGAAGGTGTACAACAAATAATCTTGTAGCATCTTCAAGACTAACACGTCCATACTGGCGTCAGCTTTGGGGACTAAAGTCCACAATTGTATGTCATTATCTGTCTGTTAGGTTTTTTAAAAAGCAGTTATTCCCCTCTCCTCCCCGATAACATGGCAAGCAAAACAAACTAGCGCCTAGTGCTGGCACATTCTTTCTGAGCAACTAAACTATTTTAACTTTTCATAGCACAGTGACTCAGCCAGTGGCTGAGCAGGTGTATTGATTGATTAAGTGAGGTAATTCTACTTTTCAGTTAGATAAATTATCCAATGGAGGTAACAGTTGTTGTTTTTTTAAAGCAACTCTACAATGTTCATGAGTTATTAAAAATTAGCATTCATGATCCCGCCTGTTACGGACACAGGAGACTTTGGAATTCCCTCCCTAGTGAAGCTAGACTGCTTCCCGCCTTGTTGTCCTTCCACCAGCAGGACTTTTTTGTTTCAACAGGCTTTTGGGTACGGACTGCTTTTTATGAAAGGGCTATTGCCGTGTTGTTTTTATTGTAATTATTTGTATGGGTTTTTATACATGTTATATATGTATATAGTTTTACTATCAATGTTTAATTGCTTTTTAATGATTGTTCTTTTTCATGTTTTTAGCGGTTCTCATTTTTATATGTAAGCAGCCTTGTGTTCCGTCAGGGGGAAAAGGCGTGTCTAAATAAACAAACAAATATTCATAAATACAGATAACTTATTTGTATAATGTATTTATTTATTATTGGATTTACATCCCACCTTTCAGCCAAAGCACCCAAGGCAGCTGATAAGTTTAAAACATAAAGTGACATGTAAGAGAGAACAAAGAGACTTCTCTCAGACCCACTAAGGGTCATATCCGGAGCTAATGGCCGGTGCTCTGTGGCCTGGGCTTCTCATCTGCCTTCCCCCAGGGCACACAGGCCTTTTCTAATGCAGCTAATATCACCACAGTGTAATGTCTGACTTTCAGCTACAGTGTTTTTCCCTGGAAGTTTTCATTAGTTTTCATTCATATGCCATATGAGTATATTATGTTTCAACTTTCGAAAGCTCCTTCCCTGGATCGTTGGAGCCTTGCACAGTCTCGTCTCACTCTTGGACAGCTGTCAGAGGAAGAAATGCACACCCACATTTTGCCCTGCCCCTTCATAGAAGAATGCAGGAGGTGAGTACCTTCAGAGCTCAACTCTTGCGTGAGTATTTGCTGCCATTTCTCTGCGACTCAGGAGAAGAGTGATAAGCCTCTGCCTTGCAGTTTCACCGGACCTAAGGAGAGACTCCTGCATGCTTTCTATTACTTTCCATTTTGAAGCAAACATTATTCCTTCCTCCTGGATGGTCTGTACGCTACTCCACTGTGTGTGAAATTCTCAGTAAAAGCCCAGCCAGTAAAAGACAGGGTGCACCCACCCAGTAGCAACCCAGTTGCCTACCTGGCTTTCCAATTTTGAGTTCACTGCTGGTAAAGAAGATGAGGAAGGGTGAGGTGGCAGGGATGTTGGCACAGTGTGGGCACGGTGGAGGGAGTGTTTGATGGGCTCCACCAGTGCCGGTACCGTGCTGAACTCCCTGCCACCTTTTCCCTTTTAAGTTACTGGCAGCGGCCTCTGCCATTGGAAGCCAGATGACCAATGCCAACCTAGGCTGCTGTGCCCTGCTGACCACTCCTGGCTAAACCTGTGTCCACCTTTTCACTGAAAGCTGCACCCAGCGGCCACCCACCCCATCCTCTCATAGTGCAATAGTAGTTCTGCCTTCAAATGAGGAGGTAGGCTTTTTCAGAGCAGGGAGCAAAGACCTTTCTTTGCAAGTTTCACTTGGCACACTTTGAGACAACAGTGTAGAACAAGCAACCCGCCTTCAGCTTTTTAGTCTGTTGCTGCCCCACTTCGGAGTGCTTTTTGAGGCCCTGTATCATTCATCAGTTTGCCCATCCTTTTGTGTAGTGCTCCTTTTCTGAGACAATGTTCTGGGCCTACCTGCTGTCCATCACTGATCAACATGAAGGAGGCCCTCAGCAATGCAGGGTAGGGTCCATCCCTGAGGCACCCTCCGCCATTCTGTCAGACAGGTGTCTGGTGGATCCGGAGCTGCCAAAGAATCGTAAGTTAGAAAGACCCAGAGAAGCAAAGTTGGGGAGAAGTTGGGCTTTTCACATTATGTGGATAACTCTGTGCTTAAAAGCATCAGCCAGCTAGACTTACAAGTCCACTACAGTGGTACCTCGGGATGCGAACGGGATCCGTTCTGGAGCCCCGTTCGCATCCTGAACAGAACGTAAGACACGACTGCACGTCTGTGCGTGTGCGAGTCGCATTTTGCTGTTTCCACGCATGCGCGTGATGTCATTTTGACCATCTGTGCATGTGCAAGCGGCGAAACCCAGACGTAAGCACTCCGTTACTTCCGGGTTGTTGCGGAGCACAGCCCGAAAATACTTATCCTGAAGCGTATTTATCCCGAGGTATGACTGTACTAGCACCTCCAGCATCGCCTTAAGCTCACAAAGCAGCAAGTCTGTAACCACTTTGTGTAGTGTGCAAACATCTGCGCAACTCATGGCTACATGCCCCTGCGTGTGTGTGCACACATGCACACACACACACACACACACACACACACACAGTCAACATCCTGCCAACAATCCCTTCATGTTTACCACACAAACCTCATTGTTTAAGGAATAGCTGTTAGAATCACTTCACCTCAGATGAAGTGACTTTACCAGCACCACTTTCTCTCTCACATCTGCTCTAAATCCATGTGCTTTAATTACCTTCTTATGTGCCTCCCCGCCCCCCCCATCTTTTTGGCTTTTCACCTCCCCAGTTGGCTTCTTATTTTTTATTGCGTTTACCACCCTCCTGGAATATGTAATGGAAGTGGAGCGAATATGATCTCTGACAGGATGTGCTATTTTGCCTGTTCATCTGTGACACAGCTTCTTGTCAGGCTTTTCTGCTCCTCCTCCACAGACCTGGTATTCACTAGGAAATTGCAAATGGCCAATCTGCATATGGCAAATGTTTAATCATATTGGAAGTATAATAAAAATATTTCTGTTGAAGATAAACATGTATATCTGTAGTTAACCCAAGAAACAATAGCTGTTTATACTCTATACCTTAAAAGCACATTCAAAGCACAGTCTTTTCCTCAAAGAATTCTGGGCACTGTAGTCTACCCCTCACAGAGTTACAATTCACACCCACATGTTAACAAACAGCAGTGCCCAGAATTCTTTGAGGAGAAAAATGTTATTCGAATGTGCTTTGAAGGCATAGAGTGTACGTAATCTAGACTTTGTATAGATGTGATCTCTCCTACCCCACCCCCAAATATAGTTTACCCCAGGATTGTCAGGGTGGTGCTCATGGGTGCAGTTGCACATGCAGAGGCATTCACTGGTTCTCAGAGGCTTGCTTCCCCTGCTGAAATTAGGCTTGTGAAAAGCATTTTGTTGCAGCCAATAGAAAGATTACAGAGTGTGCTTGGCCATTGTGTGCATGTAGTGCTCATGACACTTTGTCCAATTTGCAAATGCACCCATGAGCAAGAAAAGGTTGGTGATCCGTGCTTTGCCCTAAATAATCCTTTTCTAATTCTACTATGTTTGCAGACAAATTCACAACTGTCTCAGCTGCTACTACTCTTGTAGCTTCAGACCGCCATTTTCCTTATACTGGAAACTAAGTGCAGTGGAACCTTGGTTTTTGAACGTAATCCATTCTGGAAGACCTTTCAACTTCCGAAACGTTCGAAAACTGAAGCATGCATTCCTTGAAGCATTTGCTTATGGAAAATTCAATATGGAAGCCGTGTGGCACGTTTGACTTCTGAAAAGCGTTTGAAAACCGAAGCAGTTACTTTCAGGTTTTCAGCATTCGAGAACTGAAACAATCGACTTCCAAGACGTTCAGAAACCAAGCTTCCACTGTACAAGAGTTACAGATGACTAAGTTCTCTTCACAACTGCCTGTGCTTCTCTCAGTTGACTTCTAACCCACCACCTGTCTGGATTTTCACTTTTTGAAATATGGCAGCCCTAGATACCTCCCTTCTCCCATATCTCTTACCTTACTTCCTTTGTCTGCCTTACACTTTAACAACTCCAGAAATATTCCGTCACAGGCCCATAAGTAGCATAGCTCATACCAATTGTTTCTAAATCAGTCATACCTAACCCATCTTTTTTCTCCTCTTCCCACTTTCTTCCCCTAGATGCCATATTGGTTCAGGACCATTAAGGATTGTGAGTGTACATAACACGGGCAAATTTGTCCGAATCTTCAATACATTATTGAACAAGGAAATAGATTTAAGTGGCTACATCATCCAGCAGTGCGTTAAAGACTTCCCAGTGTCTATCTATCGTTTCCCGAATGGCACCATTCTGCCTGCACAACATCACATCACAGTAAGCAGCAGGGACCTCTCCTGCTTCCCAATCCTGAGTGTGATATAGATACCGTATTTTTCCAGGTATAAGACGCCCCCATGTATAAGCCACCTCCTATTTTGGGGGACTAAATTTAAAGAAAATGAGGGGAGATGGCCCAAAGTTGTTGAGCTTTTTTCTTTTTTTAGGGGGAATTGCACTCAACCAACTGGCTGGTGTGCACAGCTTCCCCTCCACGCAGCTGCGGGAAACGCTCCCTAGAGCAGTGTTTCCCAACCTTTTTTGGGCAAAGGCACACTTGTTTCATGAAAAAAATCTCGAGGCACACCACCATTACAGCCCCGTGACGTCAGCGCGCAGCGTCACGCCGGGAGGGACGCACGAAAGTGTAAGTTTCAATTTTTTCCCTCCCCCTTGCCTTCCTTCTGTGCCAACCGCCAAAAAGCCAAGAAAAAAGCCAAGACTTTAGGGCAGCAGGTCGACACGGAAGAAGCTCCTACCTAAGGACAGGTGCAACGGCCGTGTCCTCTTCTGCCACACTTGGCAGCCCTGCCTCACGGTCGTGACTCCCACCCTGATTTCTCCCCGCAGGTCGAGCGGCACAGGCAGCCCAATGTGTCCAGCCCAGACACAAGCCCCGCTTCCCCACTCTAGATCCTGAATGCGACCAAGTGCTCTGGACTCCCGAGCAGGGTGGGAAAGAGGACTCGCATCTGGTAGCCTCCGGGCTCCTCGCCTGCTCGAGGGATGGCATTGCAGGCAAGCTGCCGGCCGTCGCCATCGCCGCCCCCTCATGCGAGTGGACCTGCCCGGAGTGGTGGGCCGGGGGAGGCTCGCTCTCTGTGGGGATGTGGCCCGCACGCGCGGCCCCGCTTCCTCCTGCCCAGGGCTGAGCTCCTTACCCGCGATCTCGGTCTTGCGCACGCGGATCCCACTTATTCCGAAGCTCGCGCCACTAGCCGGGGCTCTCACACCGTGCCAGGGCGAGGCGGCGCGGCCCGCTGACGTCATCGCGGCTCGCCGCCGCCCTCGACTTCCCTGTTCCCTCCCCTCCCTCGGGTCGCCGTGGTTACCGAGGACTGCAAGCTGCTCGGGCGAGCGTGGGGCATTAAGTGGGAGAAGGAAAATTAAAATTAAAACTCGCCTGAAGGCCGCCTCTCCGGATATCTTTCGAATTTTTTAATTTTTCCCGCGGCACACCATGCAACGTCTCGCGGCACACTAGTGTGCCGCGGAACACCGGTTGGGAAACACTGCCCTAGAGTACACACCTCCCACAGCGGCATGGGGGGGGGGAGTTGCACGACTGCCAACCAGCTGGCTGGCAGCTCGCAACTCCCCCCCCCCAATATCCGTGTAAAGGACAATCCCAGTTTTTTGACATGATTTTTGAGTCAAAAAACCTCGTCTAATACATGGAAATTACGGTATATAAGATATTATCTTGCTGAACAATAATTTCATGCCACAGGTAGTCCAAAACATTTTGCTTCAGACAGATGACATCAATATGAACTGAAAGTTAGCCCACTGGATTTAAGAACTCTAAAAAGTTATTTTTGCTATAAAATTTTTCTATATCCTAAAAAAAGTTGAGTTTGAGCAAAGAAAGGAAGAGGGAAACAATTGTCTCCATCTGATATATTTCTAAATTGTACTATGTGCTTATGGGTACAAAAATATTTTTAAAAAGCAAAATGGTTGTATGGGAAGTGTTGCTGCTTTCCCAGAAATGTGTAATTCTGACCAACAAAACAGAATGTATTTCTACCAGCACTACGGGGAAATAATAGACTATATATGGGTGGAATTTAACATCGTGCTAACACAATTGCTCCATCAGCACAAGCATTTATCTTTGCCAGACAAGGGTTTTTTTTAAAAGCAGATTTCCTGACTGCAGAGGAATTTAATGAGCAAAGCCAAAAGGGATTAACAAATTAGTAGTAGTTTTCTGGACTGGTTCACTTACTGGATCTCCTCTTCATTCCAAATTGTCTTTCCAAGTAGCTTTTTTCCCCCATGAGTTTTGCAAAAACAGGCCACCAGGCTACAGTTACAGATGAAAATGGGAAGTACTGTAGGTCATGCATTAATGTTGTGTCTTGTCCATTTGCACTATATTTTATAGGTGTGGGCTGCAGGGGCCAACCTAGCTCATGAGCAAGCTTCAAACATGCCACTAAGCAAGCAACATTTTTTCAGAACGGGTCCAGAATGTACAACCTGCCTCTGTGACTACCGTGGCCAGGTGAATTGCTTTGTTTAATAGTCTGGAGGGGAAGGGATGTACAGTGTGTTATCATTTTCTTAGTTTTAAAAATTAAAAAGGGGGAAAGGCACAAAAGGTTGACCATCCTAAGGTAATGATAGTCAACGTGGGACCCCCCTCCCCCAATGTTGTTGGGTTACAACACTAGACATGATGGTTGGGCTTGATGGGAATCGTAGTCCAACAACACCTGCAGGGCACCACATTGGCTATCCATGACGTAGGGTGGCATTGTATCAGAGTAAACTTAAGCATAGATTTGTAATATGAAACAGTATTTGAGTGTGGTGGAGCTCATGAATATACATGAAATGGCTGTTATGCACACTGTAAACAGTGAGAGGTTTATGTGAACCCAAACTGTGCCTTGGGGTTGGTTTCTGTTGAATGAGGTCACCAAAGACCTATGGCATTTCTGTGACTAAAGGTGTTGTTTACATGGCGAGTGAAGCTGCAATTGGTTTCCCACATCCAGGGAACAGTGTATCTCTGTGTGTTTATTTTGTGTGTCAGTTATAGTACCCCTGCCCCGAAAAGAACATCAGGTGCAGCCACCAAATGGCATCACAGCTTGTTTGGAGCATAGCATTAGTAGTTACAAGCCAGCAGCTAAATATTAATGGCCACTTGTGAAATTTTGAATAAATGAATATAAACCTAAGTATGTGATCCTCGATTGTAATTTCTGGATCAACAGCTGATACACATTTATGGCTGTTGGGAATGAAGGACATGCTAAAGGACTTGCATGCCCTGAGGGGAAAGCAGAAGAGGGAATGTCTACCATCCACTTCTGAATACCATCCTGAGAGAATCCGTCCTTTCTCATTCTTTGATATAACAAATTGTCAACTACCATGGGAGCATTGAAAAGCAGTACTGTATTGCTGAGGGACGACGACGAATGAGGAGGAGGCGGAGCTGGCGCCACAGCATTAAGCTGCTACACACGCCCCCCTGAGGCACCTGGTTGGCTGCCTCCAGTGGGCGTGGGCGCCAGCCAGGTAAGGAGGGGAGGGGGCTAAGGCCCCCTACCAGGGGTGGAGCTCGGTCTCCCGCCCACAACCACTCCCCTCTCTTCCAGGGAGGAGAGTCTTTATATAAATGTTGAAGTCTGGTGAATAACTTTATTTTCCTTTCACTTTCATCTTCTAAGATTATTTCACAATATAGAGGTCCTCAGCACTTCATGGCAGCTGCAGACGCCTATAGCGATAATGTGGACCTTTCAGTGGACAAATTTCCACTCAGTGAAGATGATGAAACTTTTGAGTCCTTGCCTTCAAGGCCAGAGGTAGCTTCGTCCCAACGAATTCGTAGAACTTCAGGCATCTTGGTAAACAAAAGGTAGAGATTCAATCTAGGAGTGTGCTGGTGAAAAACAGGTAGAAGGAATGGAGTACAGTCAGTATCATGCAATGGTTTGCACATAACACTAAGCCATGGTTTATTAAACCATAGCTTAGTGTTATGCATGACCCCTTTTGAGCCACTTAACTATGGTTTGCTTACTGCATACAAACCACAAGCTGAATGCATTATTTGTTATTGGCTCACAAATCCTGGTTTATTTTACATGTTTGGTGTTACATGTGCACCTTTCCTTAACCATGGCTTGTTTGACACTCCCTGTCTTCTATAAATTCACAAAACTAGAAAGGCATGAGGCAAGATTAACTCAAAAGCCAAACAAATGTTGGAGAAACAAATCGTGTTTTGTTTGATTGTCTGTAAGGCAACTTGTGGTTAACTCACATTTTGTTAAACAAACCATGGTTTAAAACAAACTATGGTTTAGTGTTAAGTGCAAATCATACCATTACTATCACACTGCTCATATCCAACTCATGCACTCTGAAGACTGTGGCTCTAAATCTTTAGATGCCAGCACCGATTTTTAGAACAGTGCAGTCTTGAAAGGTTTGATCTGCCATTTTAATTCAAAATGGCATCAAGTTGTATCCAAAGAGACGAAAACCTGCTCCATGATCTCAGGAAGCATTGTGCAAAATTATGACAGAGGTGTTCAAGAGGTGTCCAAATGCACAGTGTACAAACAACTTTCCAAAATATAAAGTAGATCAGGTTGATCACTTTCATTGCCCAGATGCACCAGTGTGATGTGTTTGCAGCTGCCCTGAAGCTGTTTGAAATGGATAGTGTTGGTTGCAAGGAGCTGATGCTTATTCTGACTCTTTTAACAGGGTGAGCTTCCTCTTCGGTCAATCTTCTTTTTTTCCTGTTCAGGTTCCATGGACACTTTTCTTTTGATTCTGCACAAAGTAGCAAAATGCTGCTTAGTCGTGCCACAGGTATCAGGACGAAAAGCAGTGATGCAAGCAGCGAAACTTCCAGCTTATATTCAGTTTCCTCAAAAAGTTTGCTTCCACTCATGGGTATGCAAGTCAACATAAGGATATCTGTTTTAACTATATCTGTTGTTAAATATAATCTGTGTACTGCTATGTGCATTAAGGAAGAATTTTATGCTATATTTGTCAAAATAAATAAAAAATAATTTTAGAAGCATAGCTTAATTCAATTTTTTCATAACTGGAACTAACTACACGTCACATGCAAACGGATGGTATGGAGCCCTGGTGCCTTCTTTAAAAAAGAAGGAAAAATAGCTCTAGGAGGGAGTGTTTTGAGCAGAGCATCAGCAAAGATAGGTTGCTTGCTTAGCTCTTTCCTAGCCATCATTTCCCATCTCCGTATCACCTTCTAAGCAGTTCCCCACTCCCATTCCCTGCTGCTTTGGAAGACAAATGTGAAGCACAAAAAGGGTAGATACTGAAAGAGAGAAGCATTCCCTCTTTTTGTCCTCCCTACTCTGTTCAAAATACTTCCTCCCTCCTCCAAAGTTTTATTCCTTTCAGAATGGTGTTGGGCCTCCATTTGGTGTGTGTACACATACCATATAGTTAGCCCCTTAGGACAATTCTACACTAGGGACCTAAATACAGTGGTGCCTCGGGTTAAGAAATGAATTCGTTCCAGAAGTCCGTTCTTAACCTGAAACTGTTCTTAACCTGAGGTACCACTTTAGTTAATGGGGCCTCCCGCTGCCGCCACACAATTTCTGTTCTCATCTTGAAGCAAAGTTCTTAACCCAAGGTACTATTTCTGGGTTACTGGAGTCTGTAACCTGAAGTGTCTGTAACCTGAAGCGTCTGTAATCCGAGGTACCACTGTATGGGTAATAAAAATGTTTCCCCTTCCACCTAATATCCTGGAAACTTAATGGATGGGGGACAGAAATCTCTCAACATCTCACAAAACACAGGCTCAGGTTCATTTACTGTAGATGCACACTAAGAAACAATACCAATGTGCAGTGAGCAATCTAATTACAGTACCTAAATCTGTGGTCATGGGCATAGTGGCACCCTTGAGGATTTCCCCAGTGCCCACAAAACCATTGAGCACCCTATTCACTGCCTCCTTGACATGACATGGCAAAGGTGGGTATTCCCCCCCCCATCCCCAAAGTACATAGAGCTGAAGGAGGAAGTTTCCTACTTTCTCGTTCAGTGCAATGTGTTTTTCATGTCTCAGACTGGCAGCGGAGCAATGAAGAGGAAGGAAAGGGGCATGAACTGGAAGACAGCAGAGGAAAAGGAAGTGGCAGGAGGCAGAATGAGAAAGTGAAGTGCCATAGGGGATGAGGGCCAGTGAAGGCTACAGTCTGGGAAGGAGATGGAGAGTGTCCCAAGGGCCACACAGAGGCACCCAGAGAGCCACATTTGGCCTCTGGGTCTGAGGTTTCCCGCCCCTGCTCTGAATCATTTAGGTCAAGGTTACCTGAAGCACCCTTATTTTGCTGTTAGATATTGTTTTTTAATTGGAAATTGTAAACTACTTTGTGGAAGAAATTACTCAAAAAGTAGGATATACATTTTTAAATGAACAAGTATTGCTATGTCCCCCTCCCCCATCATTTGATTGTCCCAAACACATGAACATGTTCTCCCCACCAACATCCCCAGTTGCTCTGTTCTTTCTGCAGCGTGTGGAATCATGTGCTAAGAAGTTAAATGAAGTGTGTGGTAAGACAGGGATAAATTGTGAGCCCTACTTGCTATTGTGTGAGTTCCAAAACACATTGTGGTCATCCATTGCTCTGTGGGTCTAGATAAAGGTGTCCAGTTGTTTATGATTCTTCTAAAGTTGGGAGGGGGTGTTTTAGACACCATCTTCAGTTTAGATTAAATTGTAAAATGTGTGGGGGGGGGAGGATTTTACTGCTAATAAGGCACTCTGCTTTTATTGTTCTTTGGCAGAAAAGAATAGCAGTTCTTCAACCAGCGAGGGAGATTTTGCTTTTCAGACATGGCAGCCTCAAATTATGGAACCAGAAGCTAGAGTAAGTATGTTCATTAGTAACAAATACATGGAGAGGTTAGTGGCCTCCCCAGAGTTGTACTGTAAATGCTGTGTAGGCACCTCTGAGCCCAAGGTTGCTGGATAATCAGACATTGGAATAAAGAAACAGGAAACAGAGGTTTCCTTCTCCATTCATAGTACAAGTACAACTAGCAGAAAGTGTCCGGTGCTGTGTGGGAATTCTAAGAAACCCAAACATATTGTGATTTTTAAATGGATAGTATGATTTGTGAGTATGGCTGCTGTGCATGCCCCCCCCCCACCGATGCAGGGCTCAATGCATCCAATGGTATCCAAACATAGACAAAAATACCTCTTCCACCTTAGGAAATCTCATCTGCAACTATCACTATGCCCTCTTGATTCAAAATTGTGTCTAGCCTCCAAACATAGAGCAGGATGACCATCTCCATCTTGGAACCAAATTGGGGGACAATAACTTCAAGTCATCCAAATTGTCGTAGTTTGGACTCATGATGCTTAATTGGGCAAAATGACACCAAATTGGGCAACAATATCTTCAGGGGTGTCCACATTGGCACCGTTTGGACCCATAACCAAAACTGAGTGAAGTCACATCAAAGTCACATTTTGGTCCATCATCTTGATTCAAAATAGCACCCAGCATCAAAACATAGATGAAGTTCGCTGCTTCCCCGCTCAGGAACTCTCATGCTGAGTTGGCCAATATCTTCAGAGGCATCCACATTGGCACAAGTTGGCCTGTCATGCCAAATTTGCTAAATAGTGAAATGATATATTCCAAGGTGTCCAAATTGGTGCAGGTTGGACACATCACACCAAAAACTGGACAACAACATGCCCAAGTCACATTTCAGTCTGCCATCTTGATTAAAAATGGCAGTCGGTTGCTGCCCCCACTTCAGCAGCCCTCATGTAGAGTTTGAAATAAGCATAGTTTGGACCTGTCCCACCAAAAATTGGGCCGTCACGCTAAAGACATGTTTCAGTCTGCCAACGTCCAATCAATGGCAGCCAATGTCAAACATTAATGAAGACTACCACCCCCACTTTAGGAACCCTCATGGCAAATTTGTAAACAATATCTTGAGAGGCATCGCAACGTATAGGAAACTTTCCAAAATATACAGAAGATAAATTAGTACTAAAACATTTTTTTTGAAATAAAGAATAAAAAATAAAAGAGCACTATAGCATGTCACACCACAATGCTATAATGCTTTAAAAAAATTTTTTTGAAGCATTCTGGCCATTGGCATTTTTGCACCAGGGTTAATGGCAATGACCAGAAAGCTTTTTATTTCTTATTTTTAGACAGCATTATGGTGTTAAGCACGCTAACATTATTAAAAAAAAAAAAAAAGCTGGAAAAACTTTAGCCCTAGTTAGGAGATCAATTAAATAACATAAACAGGGTGATAAAAAGTACCTACCGCAAAGGTTATGGTGAATGTATGCAGAGTTTTGACAAGTTCACCTGCACGATAGATCTCTGCCCATCTAATACCCGCCTCTTTAAACAGACAGAAGTAGCACCAAGGGCAAGTACACCTAGTGAGACTGTGCTCTTAATTTTTTTGGGAGGGGGGAAACAGACTTTCTACAGCCTGAGAAATGATAGAAGAACCAAAAAAGGATGGTGTTGGGTAGATTCCTCATAAAAAGGGAGTGAATGAAACATAGCTTAGTATAGACTGTGGAATCATCCAGGGGTTCCTTTATATAACAGAGTTGGAGGAGCAGGGGTTAGTTTAGCTATCTATATAAAAGCTCCTTTAGACCAGGATGATTTGAAGAAACAATAGGCTGTAGGAGTACATCCAAAGCTTGTAGGTGGCAGTCAGAGGGAGAATCTAGCTCAAGGAGAATAAGTACTTCTGTTCTGCTAACCTGCAAGGGTTGGATGTTTTAGAAGGAACATCTGGACCTTTTCCAATCCCCATCCTTTGTTTAGCTCTAATCCAGGATAAACTGATAATATAGGCAAGTCCCAAGAGAAAGAATAGGAGAAATAGAAGGAAGAGTACATGGTGGCTGGGTGAATACCTAAGTCTCAACATTGACTCACCGGGCACTTCAGCTGGAAAGCCCTCTTTTGTGCTAAATTAGAAATCTATTTTCTTTACCTCTTGCTTGCTTAGATACATATCAGTGTGTCTACTTAAATAACAATTTCACAGTGCGCAGCAAATCCCATTAACTCCAAAAAAGATTGTAAAGAACCAGTGGTTATTGCATAGCGTGAGGATAGCAGCGCTACAAGATGACAGCATTTTAACTAGACCCAGGGACTGTGCTAAGGTTAATATGAGTAGAATGGGCAACGACAGAACAAAGATGCTGGCCCTTATAAACAGCCCCTGCCCCCTAAGTGCCAATGCCAGACTATGATTATGGAAAAACACACAGAAAGAGCCACAGTGATTGCTGCTCATGCAAATGCAGTCCTGGAACTGTTTTACATTAAAGGGCAGGAAATATTATAAAATAAGTACATGCATGCATGCATTCTGGGTTGTAGCCAACTAAGTTTTACTCAGAGTAGACACACTGAAATTAATGGACACAAGAGTCATGCTTCTTACTTTCAATTGGTCAACTCTGAGTAGGACTAGCATTGGATACCTTGGGTTCACATCATGTGAGGGATCAGTTATTATTATTTTGTGATTACACAAGTAAAAAGTATCCTAGCTGAACCCGCTATAATTTCAAGTCTTCCTACACACCTGCCAGTTCCAAGTTATTAATTCATTAGGTCAGTGTTGATGTCTGAAATTATGACTTGCTGTAGCATCCATCTGCAGCAGAGGAAGAGGCGCCTCCCAAAGTCTTGCACATTTTCAGGCCTTGAGTAATTTCCTTTATTTAAAGATGAGGCTTCCTGCTATTACATTCTGTCATTTATGTAGCCCCACAAGTCACATTAAAACCAATGTAAAAAAAAAACCTTGCATGTAATGTGCCTTTTCCAGGAACCTTGAAAATTAGATGAACAGAGAGGCTGTTTGGCAGACCTTATATTAGGGAAAAAAATGTTACTGCTAATCCTTAGTGGAGGAATTAAATTGCTCTGCTTCCCTGTCTCCCCCTGCACAACCAGTTAGTATTTTAGTAGAATTAAGGTGGCAATTTTTTCAAAGGCAAATAAATAAATGGCATTTAGATTCCTAACTTCTAGTGAGTTACCAATAAGTAGATGTTTTTGCCTCTAGCTTGTGTCACAGGTCTGTTGTGCGACTTTGACAAATATGTTCCTCTTTTCTCTGCCAAATTTGAAAAAGGAGAAATCTTTATTCTCTTTTGGGCAGAGGTCTTGGATATATTTAAGAGTGGGAAAGGCTTTGATACTTTCAACACTTCCACAAAAGGGCAGATGTTAATAGATTTCACTGCCGCTAACACATCATACATATGGAGCATTCATCCTATAATAACAGGTTCTGGACTATGCTTGCTGATTTGAGTAGTATGCTATGCTAAGGTAAAGGTAAAGGACCCCTGGACAGTTAAGTCCAGTCAAAGGTGACTATGGGGTACAGCACTCATCTCACTTCAGGCCGAAAGAGTAGGCATTTGTCCACAGACAGCTTTCCAGGTCATGTGGCCAGCATGACTAAACTGCTACTGGTGCAACGGAACACCGTGACGGAAGCATGGAAACGGCATTGAGGCGGACATGGGTGGTGCTGCTGTGGTCTAAACTACTGAGCCTCTTGGACTTGCCAATCAGAAGGTTGACGGTTTGAATCCCTGGGACGGGGTGAGCTCGCATTGCTCTGTCCCAGCTTCTGCCAACCTAGCAGTTCAAAGCACACCAGTGCAAGTAGATAAACGGTACCGCTGCGGCGGGAAGGGTATGCTGTACTAAAACCACATCCAGGTAGCATAAGTGCGCTCTCTGTGTGTGCGTGCGCGCATGTGTGTGTGTGACAGATAGAGAGACAGGGATAATGAGGTGCAACACAAGGTTGCTTGATCTGATTCCCCCCTCCCTGTCTTGTTTATGAAGCTCACCTTTTTCTGCTTAGATGACACACCAAAAGTCACAAAACAGCCAGCAATGGAACAGTCACAACACCAAACAGAGCTACGCCCAAGATTCCTCTTGAGTTTCTATGACTGTTACGTGTAATTTAGCTTTAGTAGCAGAGTATTGGGCTTGGATAAAGTGTATAATTATATTTATCAAAGTCCTGAAGGCAAATGCCAGCCACACACACCTGCTTTTAAATGCTGCTATCGTTTGGTAACAGCAGTGTCCTTTTTTTCAGGAATTCAAGACTACGCTGGATACTACACTTCCCATGGTGTCCCTGATAGGACAGAGGAGTGCTCGCTCAAGATATGGCTTCAAGCATATGACTTACATGCCCACTATCACTGATCTGCACCTAAGGAGGTACTGTCCTGCTAGATGACATGCTGATGAATGTCAGCAGCAAAGGTGGTTTGCATGGCTTTAAATACACAGCACAACTCTGCAGTTTGCCTGGCATGTATCTTTGTGACTTCCCCTTCCAATTCCGAGGCAGTTCTTTGTGCCAGCTTCACTATCTTGGAAGGCGTAAGACAAGAAGCACCACATTAATGGTGACGGGAAAGAGGCTTTAGGAGGCAGAGAAAAGAAGTAAAGCTACATATTGCTAGGAATTTGGGAGACTCCCCATTATCTTAAATTTAGTAAAGGGGTAGAATTTACCCCTAATTTTTTGAAGTATGAAGGAAAGATGCCAGGCGAGTTAAAAAACTCATGCTGAACCAGTTCAGGAGATTGCTGATAGCATTGATGTCATTAAAAACAGGAGAACTGTTTATGTTGTGAACCACTCTCAGATCTATGGAGAGAGGGCAGTATACAAATTTAATAAATAAAATAACTACCAGTCCATTAAGAACAATTGATCATCCACATGGTGTCCTTTCCCCCAGCCGTGTGTTAAGTTAGCAGAAGATAATAGCAAAGTTGAGAGGGGGAGGTTCCCAGGGTAACAGTGGGGCGTGATGTCAGCACAGAAAGAGAGGGCATCCTTTTGCAACAGACACTTTGGGGTTTCTGGGAAGAAGGGGCAGGAAGTGGGCAGAACAGCAGGCTGTTAGAAAGAGACATGGGGAGGGCGCTTGGGATGCCTCTGAATCCAAGGCTGCACTGCTGGGAAGGACAAGTCCCTCTTGTGATGTAAATGCCGTGAACTCTCTCTCTTCATCAAAACCCAGGTTGTAAATATGTGTAGAATAAACCATATTTCATAAAGACGCTAGTCTCTACTGTGCCTTGATTTCCCAACAGAAACACAACCTTGGTCAAGTGCCAAATCCCCTGAAATCTCTTACTATCGCTTGGCAGACATTGGGGTGGCCCAAACAATATTGTTAGTTGGCTTTGGAGCAACATAAAACTCACACATTAACTGGGGACTGGGAAAATAATTTGGCATTTGGGGCAATCTAGGCATGTCTTTTAACATATATTACCACATAAAAAGAGACAGATTGGAAGTGAGCCCAGCTGGAAGAAAACATCTGGGAGGATGGTTGAGGGACGATGCAGCACCTCTCTCCCATATGCTTTTTTCCTATTAAAATTGGATGTGATTGGGTAATTTTGCCCAGAATTCTTGTGGTCACATCCAGTGCTACTTGGGAGTATTGTGTGTCAGACTTGCTGGTCTCCCCCATACCAAGGGTAGCGAAAGTGGTGCCCTCTAGTTGCTGAATTTTAATGCCCACCATTGACCATGATGGTTGGGGTTGATGAGGGTTGGAGTCTAACCTCTGGAGTGCACCATATTGGCTACCCCTGCTCTCTCACCATTTATATACAGAGGAGAATTTTAATTATGATTGCAAAATGTGAAACTGTGTAAAGGAGGAAGCTGGCTTAAATGGTGCATGTTTTGCCAAGGCCAATTTTACACATTTTCTGGGAACCACCATTCTATGAATTTTGATTTTACTCCTACAATCCCCTGCTCCATTTACTGCAGAAATGCATGCCTTCTAAGGGTGTGAATGTCCCAAATCTTCTTATATTCTTTAAATGTTTTGGCTTCCAAAGGACAAGCTGACGATATGGTCTGAACGTTCTTGGTTTCAGCTCCATTATGCATTTCAAACATTCAACTAGAAAGAAATGAGCTACAGATTGGGATGCTGCATAATTCATGTATTATAAATAGTCTTCCAGAAAATAATTTAAACAATTACAGTACTTAGTTTCAAAATATTCACAATAATTGTTGAAATATACCTGTCTTGAGTGCCAGTTCATACATAGCTTTGGTTCTACTTGCAAGCAGTCCCAACTGTCCTTGGGATTCGTGTGGACAAATATACAGTGTGAACTTGACTATCACCTATGCAGACAGCAGCAATTCCCATGATTGTGGCAGCATGCTTTCTCTTGCTGACATGCTCACAACCACTGCTGCTCGCAACATCTGTGAATGCCTGCTCCCGTGTTGACTTTATCCATAAGATGTCATACCTGGGGCCTGGTGGAATTGTTTACATTGTCATTCAAACCAGATCAGATTATACCAGTTCATAGCATTTCATATTGTATTCTAAAGCAGAATAAATGTTATTAAAAGTAGAGTAAGCTCCCTGCAATGGTTGAATGTGTGTGTGTCTGTGTGCGCAGACAAGCACATGCACACACACACACATATTCTTGTATTCCTTTAAAACTGATCTAGTAAAAAAAAGTTACAGAACATTTGATTGCAAATACATTTGTGGTAAAAACGCATGAAAAAGATGAGGTAAAGGAGAGATTGTTGGGAATCAGCCTTGTCCACTGCAAATATATTTACAACGGACATCTGGCTTGGAGAAAACACAACCCACCCAATTCAGGTATATCTGTATGACAGCATTCTGGATGAGCATCAGGAGTTCCTTCCAAGTACAAAAAAACAAAGTGATGTGCTCCATCCCCCTCTCCCAAACTCCTTCTGAACTACTGAGTTTTTCCCTGCTAAAAAGAATAGAGAAGAATGATTTCAAGCAAGATGGAGTGTTTCTACATCAACGTGGGATCCAAGTTCGTGCCTGAATCAAGGATGTGCTCTGAAAGCGAGAGTCCTGCTCAAAGCACACTCAATTCCATTCTACACAGCTTTCCCAGTCTGTTGTATGATTTCACAAGGACTGCATCCCTTTGACAGCAGTTGGACACATGGAAGTAGCTGCAGCTGGATACCTGAGGGAACGCTGAAGGGTGGTTACCTTCCTCCCACTGGATGAGTCAAAGGGGCCACCCTGGCCATGAAGCCAGGCACACAGCTGCTGTAAACATCAGGCATACAGTCACTTGAAAGGGCTATGGCGGCACAAGCTTTCATTCCTCCTTTTGCAGAAGCTGCCAAAATGGTTGATAGGGGAGTTGCAGATTCTCCATTCGCAGCAGCAGTTTTGTTTGAGGTCAATCGAATTGTTTATTTAAACTGCTTTGCTTACCTAGGGCACTGCTGTGTTCAGAGATCGCGATGAGTCAGAGAAGCCAGCCTGTGTTGCTCATAGGAAGATGGGAAACACAGAAAGCAGCTGAAAGCGTCTGTGACTTGGCAACAACATACGCACAGCTGCTGAGGGCATTTCCTACAATTTGGGAGTCTTGCTTTGAGCCGTCATTGAGATATTTGGCTTGCTTGGCAAGCTCTGCAGGGCAGCCTTGGCAGTCAGAGGGCGGACCACGTTCAGAACTGCAAGTCCCTCTGGCATTTTTGTGCATGAGCGAACAGCAGGTTGATGAGAGTTGATCATCTTGAGGAGCTTTCTATCTACAGAGGCTCTGAAAACAAGAAACACCAGAGTACAGTGAGTTGGCACAAATATGTTTCAGAGACTAAGCTAGAATTGTATAGTCACTTAACCTTCTGTGCTGGATGCAACAAAGAGGGATAAAACCTCTTCTGTACCCCCTATGTCCCACCTCATTAGCATAGAGAACAACACACCACTCAGTTACAGAGATACAGTATACAGCATGCAGCTTGGGGGTACCTGTGGACCCATTACTGTCACTGGAAGCACAAGTGGCCTTGGTGGCACAGAGTATCTTCCATCAGCTTTGACTGGTGGCCCAGCTGCAGCCCTCTCTGGACTGGGATAGCCTTGCTTCTGTAGTCTATGCTATGATAACCTTTAGGCTAGATTACTGCAATGTGTTTTATCATACATGCAGCTACCTTTGAAGATAATTTGTAAACTGCAGCTAGTGCAGAATTCAGAAGCCAGATTGTCAACTGGGAGTAGAAGGCATATAACACTGATCCTGCCCAAAATGCATCAGCTGCCCATTAGTTTTTAGCCTCAGTTTGAAGTGCTGGTTTTCATCTACAAAGACTGATGTAACTCAGACCTCAGTACCTTAGAGACTGCCTCTCCTCATATGAGCCTATCCAGAGTCTGTGAATGTGTGGAATGTGGCACCATGAGAACAGGTCTTTTCAGTGATGGTTATGCAATTTTCTCCCTAGGGAGATAGGCCTGATGCCATCATTATCAACTTTTAGGTGCCAGCCAAAGGCATTATTGTTTACCCTGGCATTTGGTTCTTAACTGGGCTCATATGGCACCTAGCTGTTTTTGGTGTTTGTCTTTTAGCTGGGTGGTGTAGGATTCATCCTTTATATAATACTGCAGGATGAGCACTTTGGGTAAATTATGTTGTTTTATTCTTTTGATGTTGTTTTAAATACTTGCCTTTATATGTTTTTTTCCACCTGTAAGTTGCTTTGAGAGATTTTATGTAGTAAATTATGGATAAATGTTGTTGTTGTTGTTGTTGTTATTGAGAATATGTTGCAAGTGTCAGATGCAACTTAGCTTGCACTACAGTGGTACCTCGGGTTAAGTACTTAATTCGTTCCAGAGGTCTGTTCTTAACCTGAAACTGTTCTTAACCTGAAACACCACTTTAGCTAATGGGGCCTCCTGCTGCCGCCGCACCACCGGAGCACGATTTCTGTTCTCATCCTGATGCGTCTGCAAGAGGAAGAGTATATAGAGGAACCTCCAAACCTCCCAGATGGTCCTCCTTGTGCTGACCTGTTGAGACAATTTTTTCTGAAAAGCAGGTAGATAGATAGATAGATAGATAGATAGATAGACAGATAGACAGATAGATCCGTTGTTAATCTATGAAAGGGAGATGTGCAGTGGACATGCTGAACAGCTGAAGCTAATCTTAGATGCAAGTTGTCAATGAAGCTTCTTGGAACTCATTTTTGAGAAGGATAACACCACCCAAAACAGAAAACCAAGCAGTAAGTATAAGATCAAAAGCCTGCAATCACACTCTTGAGAGAGAAAGTTAGGTATGCTTAAAACCAAAGCCAATGGGTTAAACTTTAAAGCACAGTTCACTCCATCCTGGATGTTATGAAGCAGCCTTTATCCCATGTGGATTTGTTCCATTTGGTTTAGCAATCCTAGTGAAAGAGCTACCTAGGTATCCCAACCTGATGTTTGTTGGTCCAATTGTTGCTGGTCCTGAAACAGGTCTCTTGGTCTGCTTGCTGTCGGGGCCAAAAGTCCTATGCCTCTGACTTAAAATAGATGTATCAGATAAGGAGAAATCAGGTTTTCTGCTGAGACTCTGAACAGTAGTCTTCTCAAACACATTCTGCACTGTATCACTGTTCTGAGTTGATGAAGGCTGTGGCTTCGGTAGAACTGCCTTTTCTGAACTGTGCACTTTCAGGCGTCTAGCTCCAACAAACTCAGTTCTCACTCGCTGTACGAATGCAGGCGAGGGACTTTTTGGAGGAGAGGGTACAATAGAGCGCTTTATAATGGTGGGCAATGAATTTTCCTGGACGTGCAATGAATCTGAAATGCAAAGGGAAAGCACAGCAATTTAAAAGCAGAGCATGTAACTTCACTCCCATCCACTTGAGAGCGTAAATCGGCAAACACAGGTGCTGTAACCTTCCAACAGTTTGAGTTTGACTTCACCCCCAAAGGTGCACGCCTCCATTGTCTCCTGAGACAGACAGATGCCAACAACAACAACAACAACAAGAACAACAACAACAACTGTAGTTAAGAGGCTTTCATGAACTGAGGTGGGTTTAGACCAGGAACTCTTGCTCTTATTAGAATGGCCTGAATTTCCATCTATTTAGCTATGAGAGGTTTCAAAATATTAAAGGACTGATAGTATAATTCAGTGCACGTTTACACAGAAATAAGTCCC